ATTCATATCACCTGCTAAAAAAATATTTTCATTATCCATTGAATTTTCAGTGATCCAGTGATCAATATCTTTGAAAAACGTACATCTGTCTGCAATATTGTTAGGAGCATAAATACTGGCAAAAGAATAGATTTTGCTATGTATTTCCGCATTTACTAGAACCGCCCTTCCATTATCTAGACATTTATAGTTCTTCACATTACAAGAATTACTTAAGGCTTTACTCAACATAATAGCTACACCTCTTGAATGATTTGAATCAGTGATACTATGAAAAACTTTACCATCCCAATATGAATTAAAAGTCTTTACAAAATCAGTTGTACAAAAAGTCTCTTGTAAACAAATAATGTCAGGTTTCTGGTCTTGTAGCCATTGAAAAAGTTTTCTTCTTTTTGCATTATCTTTTAACCCCCTTACATTGAGGGTAAGAATTCTTAACTAATCCATCAATTAATGAATGTTAAGAGTTAATGTGGAGGGGTTATTTGCTTCATGGTCTTGGTTGCTGGCTGTTTCTCGGCAGACGTAGGGGTAGATTGTGAAGATCTGTCCTTACGTTTGTTGCTGACGGGTGTTTTCATACAGGCTACCTCAGGTGTATTTTTCATTGTACTGACAATGTTTCTTGCAATTTTGCTGTACCCCTGTTTGGATAAGTGTACTCCCTTGGGGTCATTGGTGGCGTAGTCCTTCTGGGATGTCTTGCCTTCATTGCAGAGTAGTGAACTATCATTGTCAATGAAGGTTGCATAATCTTTTGATTTACACATCATTTGAATAAGTTTGTTGGTCTTGGTCACCTTAGCCTTCGATTTGTTGGATTTTCCAGGCAGTGTATGCGTTGGAGGAATGCTACATATCATGATGTTAGAATCGGGAAATTTGACATGTACATCCTTCACTACCCTATCATACTTTTCTAAACACATTCCAGGTGTTTCTTCATTGTAGACAACATTGTTACTTCCAACTTGGATGACAATGTTGCTCACCTCATCCACTAGTGTTGAAGTTTTCACTAATAGACCTGGTATGTCTTCAATTTTTGCCCCGCTCTGGCATGATGGTATGAAGCTTCTTTCTTGGTTGCTAATCCCTTTTGCCAGGGATCCCCCTACCAAAATAGTCTTGATCTGTTCACTTTTATCTTCACTATTATCTTCATCCTTTTCACCAACTTTTTCTTCATCTTCATTCACTTGTTTATCATCTTTTTCAGCCTCTACAGTACATGAGGATATGACATGAGATGTACTGCCACATTTGTAACATTTACGTACATCTTTGAGAGGGCATCGCCACCACGGATGTTCCACTAATTGGCATATTCTGCATGGCTGTCCATTGAACGAGAGTCGTCCTCTAAATCCAGCTATTACTGGATCACTGGGGATAGGTTCTTTGATGTCCATTACTGTTATATATCGTATTCCATTTTTGATCTTTGTTTTCGTTCCATCAGGCTTTTTGACATATCCATGATGTATTTCATTCAGGACTGTAGCATAACCTTCCAAGTATGCGTTAATAACGCCGTTCGATACCTGTACGGGAATGTCCTTTAATGTCACATTAATAGTGTTGTTTTCCACATCAAACAAATCAATGAATGATCCATTGTAGTTCAGACCTAAAGTCTGTGCAGAAGTTTTAGCTTCTTTATTTGTAAACGTTATGTGTATGTCTCTTCTGTTTATTTGGATGGCTTCGATATCATCTTCACCAATAGCCATTGTATCCAAAGCTTGGAGGATGTCACCTTCCTTGGCATAGTTAGTGTCTCTCAATGAGCATTTCAGGGTTAAGTTTCTATTTATTGGCATTTTGAGATGGTCCCTTACAGTGGTCAATCAATATGAGTGATTACTACAAGGTCAATGTTTATATGTGGGCCTATTTACACTATATGAATTATGTGCTTCTGTTTTATATGTGAGCAATGTTTATATGTAGGAAAATTGGGTCAGTTCCAACTTACTTGTTTCCTCAAAATTGTGACAAAATATCCATTCAATTTGTGATGATGATAAAGTGTTTCACTCCTAAATTTTACTATCCTTTTGTTCCTTGAGTATTCATGTGTATGATAATCCAAAAATTGTTCACCAATTTCGTTATATTTCCAAAGAATTTCCTGATAATATGCAGACTTTGTAATTTGTAATGTCCTGTTCATTAGGGGGTCGTATCGTCAGCGTATCGTTAGGGCGTACTATGAAAGCCATTTATAATTCCTTAAATATCAAAACAATCATTATGATATTTACAGACAATCTACTACTTATCATGTCCTACCATGATGACAAGTTTCATCAATGTGAGTCAAATGTGGGTAGAAATCTATTTGTTAAAAAAGTACACATTTCGAAAAATTTTAAGACACACCCTAAGACATTGAAAATCTTCATCAAATTGGGAGGAATTAGCATGAAAACATTAAAAAAAACTATTTTGGGTATGTCTGATAATATTTAATCAATGGATATTTCATCTGGGCCATTTGATGTATTGTATTTGCTTATAATAATAAAACTATGCAGAATGCGGCTGTCACATTATGCGTAGGGACATAGTAAATTATGAGCTGATCTCACTTAGCCATCTGTTATATCATTTGCATCTAAATCCTCATTCATAGATCTTTCAATGACTACTTTTGTCAAAGCATCCATTGCAATCTTTATGTGACTATATGTCTATGAGATCATCAGGTGGAATGGGTTGGTCTGGCCAATTTGGCTCTATTTTGGCACCAACAAGTTACCACGTCACTTGTAATAAACAAACTAAGAGATATATACAACTATTGCACCCAATAAAAATACTGGAAATGCTTCTGAATGAATTCTAAAAACAATAAACAGTTGAAAAAAACCAGCAGACATAAAAAACAGCATGTATTACCCTGAGTGTAAAACGTCCGTTGATGACCAGTGATGGCAATAAAGCGTCCACTGTTGTGATTGATGAGATGTGATAAGTTTTATGAAATGTTTCCATGCTTATTTCTCCCAAAATGATGAACATATTATGTGCTTAATGCCAAACGTTGCACGAGTCTTAGATTTTTACGAAAATGTGTACTCTTTTAACAAATGATTTCTGTTACCATAGCAACCAAATTACCAACATTGAAGGCACTTGTTATACTGGTAGGACATGTAAATGGATGATTACCCGTAAATATCAAGATGATTGATTGAATATTCTAGGAATTGTACATGGCTTCCATAGTACCCCCTTAATGTGCACTTTTTAACAAATTATTTCTGTTACCAGAGCAACCAATTTGACCAACATTGATGGCACTTGTTATACTGGTAGGACATGGTAAGCAGATGATTACCTGTAAATATCAAGATGATTGATTAAATATTCTGGGAATTATAGATAGTACCCCTTGATGTGCAATTTTTAAGAAATGGTTTCTGTTACCATAGCAACCAATTGACCAACATTGATGGCACTTTTCATACTGGTAAGACATGATAAGCAGATGAAAGCCCAAAAATATCAAGATGATTAATTGAATATTCTAGGAATTATACATAGTATCTCCTTAATGTGTATTTTTTAATAAATTATTTCTGTTACCATAGCTACCAAGTGTTAAACATTAATGAAACTTGTCATAGTGGTAGTGCATTATAAATAGATGATTACCTGTAAATATCAAGATGAATGGCTGTATATTCTAGGAATTATAGATGGCTTTCATTGTACCCCCCTTAAACCATAGTAACCAGTAATCCAACACTGATGAAATTTTCCATGATAGTCAAACATAATGATGTGAATGATATCTGTTAATTTCAGGACAAATAGTTACTTATTTTCTTCAAAAAGTTTAACACAAATAAAGAATTCTTTGGAAAAGTGCCACATCACTTTTCTAAATTTACTTGCATTGCCATATAATCATCAGCAATAGATTCCACTCTGTGCATAAGATAAAACAGCAGTTGATTTAATATTATCAAATATACTTTGAATAAGTTTTTCAAAATGGTTTCATGGTGATACCTTCCAATTTCATGAAAATAATATGTGTTTTGTCTCATGGGGTATCTTACATTTTGACGAAAATGTGTACTTTTTAACATATGATCTCCATTTCTAGCAACCAGTTGATCAACTTTAATGAAACTTGTCATAATGGTAGGACATGATAAGTACATGATTACCTGGAAAAATCAAGATGATTGGCTCTATATTCTAGGAATGATATATGGCTTTCCTGGTCCCCCCCCTTTAAATTACACCATGGGGAATAAATCTGAATATTTCCAAAACGCTGAAAAACTAGACACCAATGATTTTAGAATCAATGTATAATAATAAACCACAAATAACCTACATGAAGAGAAATTTGCTACTTTTCAAAACCACTTTTACACCACGTTCATCCAGTATAACCTTCAACGAAGGCCTAAACGAACTCCACAAATATCCAAAGAGAAAATCGTCTAACAAAATCATCAAAAATAGCTCAGAGGACAACAGAATCGTCGATTTACTTCCTCACTTAAGTTACATAAACGGTTTTTCGAAAATCAGTTAAGATCTGCACTTTTAACCCAAACCGTTTATGTAACTTAAGTGAGGGAGTAAATCGACGATTCTGTTGCCTTCTGAACTATTTGTTCGCAAATATGTACACTTTCTTAAACATATGATACTGATACACGTTTGTGTTAAAAAATGTCGTGGGAATTCTGCCTACAACGTGTAAAATAAGGAAACGAGAAAAATCGTACCTTCCGGATGTTCCGACATTTTGTTACCAAAACGAACCGTTTTGGTAACCAGCGTAATCGAGTGGATCACCAGTGCGATTGGCATGAAGGAGATACGAAAAGTATGTGATTGAATATGAATGCAATGAACATATGAATTTGAACCTTGGAAATGGAACGAACGCAAGTAAGTGACACAGCCAAATCACGGTAGCATGTGCCATCAAACCTCGCATATGAAACGTATATATAGTCTATACAGTTTAGATAAACATAAGTGATCAACGACACCTTAACCTAAACCTCGGGCACGCCTATTTATTTCTCTCTATCTCAAAGATGGTAGACGTAGCGGGAGGTGTGGTCTTAGTAGTATTTTACGTCATAATTCTTCTTATTGGAATACTGGCAGCAAAATACACAAAGACAGAAGGAGCATCTGAGACAGAGAGGTCATTGGTGGCTGGGAGGCAACTGAACCTTGGTGTCGGAATTATATCTATGGCAGGTTTGACCATTTTATTCCTATTTCGTGATAATTATTGCAAAATGCAGGCGTTGGGTTTACAAATCAGACATGAACTAAATTCACAATGTAAAGTATATTTAAAAAAGTGTATTTATTTGAATAGATAATCATGAAAAAGGCAAACCCTTATACATTGTACAGCTAGTAGATGCATTATGTCAACGTGACCTTCAAAATGCACAAAATGAGATGGAAGCATGGTACATCCTTATAACGTATAAAACATTTTTATACAACAAAATGACTCGTTTCGTCTCGTTTATAATGTGTTGAGTGTCGTCCTGGACTCCTTTAATGTTCTAACGGTAACCTGTGATTCAAATTGAATGACAAAGTGAGGTAATGGGCAAGTGGAACACCTCCCAAGTGAAACACGTTTTAGAGGTACTGTAGCAAGGGTGCCCCACTAATTATAAAGGTTTTTGTACTTTTAGCAAGCGCTGTTGGAGGTGGATTCTTAAATGGATTTGCAGAGTCCGTTGCATTGTACGGCGTGGTGTGGATGCTGATGCCAATCGGCGGGATGATTGCACTTTGCATATGTACGTTCATCTTGCATCCCCTGTATATCTCTATGTCACTGGTGATCCGCTCGATTACGCTGGTTACCGAAACGGTTCGTTTTGGTAACAAAATGTCGGAACGTCGAAGGTACGATTTTTCTGTTTTCCTTATTTCACGCGTTGTAGGCAGAATCCCAACGACGTTTTTTCTCACAAACGTGTATCAGCATCATATGTTTTAGAAAATGTACATGTTTGCGGAAAAATAGCTCAGAAGACAACAGAATCGTCGATTTAATTCCTCATTTAAGTTACATAAACGGTTTGGGTTAAAAGTGCAATCTTAACTGGTTTTGGAAAATATGTAACTTAAGTGAGGAATTAAATCGACGATTATGTTGTCTCCTGAACTATTTGTTCGCAAATATGTACATTTTCTTAAACATATGATACTGATACATGTTTGTGTTAAAAATGTCGTGGGAATTCTGCCTACAACGTGAGAAATAAGGAAAAAAGAAAAATTGTACCTTCGATGTTCCGACATTTTGTTACCAAAACGAACCGTTTCGGTAACCAGCATAATCATGTGGACCACCAGTGTATGTGTAGAAACATTATTAACAAAATGAAGAATGATGTCAGGCCAGTAGCCAGCTTTTGTTTTAAAAAAGTCCAGGGGTTCACATTTGACAACCTAGGCCCAAAATCACTTGAAAAGTGCCCAGAATGTTGAAAGCTACATGATTTTCAAAGATTCTTAGGTCAGGGGGATTCGAGCCGAACCCGAGACCCCTGCATGGCTACGGGTCTACACCCCCTATCCGCACTGTAAAATCACGGGACGGTACATGATAGAGTATGGTACCGTACGGTACCATTTGAGTATGGCGTCGTACACTGTTCACGGTACCATATGGTACTGTTTTACTCTACTGTACCATACGGTACCATTATTATTTCACGGTACCGTCAGTACCGTAACCAAAACGGTATCTTACGGTACTGTTACAGATTGGCTGTGTTATAATCCCATTTACACTGTACAAACCATTCCAAGGCGTCTTCGCTAAGAGCTCTTTCAAAATTCAAGCGAGGTTACATTAGTATGTTTTCAAGACGTTTTACAAAATATATTTCAGTTTACACTTGTTTCCCAAGAGGTCTAGGGCTGTACGTAGGTAGCTCTCAACGAAAAATGAAAGAACCAGCCCAACACTGGCTAATGGACTGTTAAGTCACAGTTTATTGCGTTGGCGATCCCGTTTCCACTTTTAAGAAAAACATTTTTTAGAAATACGTCCGGATCAAGGAAGCAATTAAAATCCAGAAAACGTTTGGCAAGGTTTGCGGCTTATGAAAAAAAACTTAGAAGAAAGATCTGCCAAAATAAAGATTATTTTTCTGCTTTGGATGCTGTTTTTCGTTCTTCGCAATACATTTGAAACCCGGTTTTAAGAGCTTCTAGCTAATACCAATGCATGGATCTTTGTAAGAAGTCTTGCTATGACTAGGGTTCCGAGACGTTTTGGTTGAGACGTCTTATACAGGGTGGTCCAAAAAAATGGGACACTCGTATTTCAAAAATAAATATTGATTTTCTTGATGAAAACATGTCATATTATATACCAGTAGATAGGGAATTTACTTATCTTTAATTTGGTATATCATAAGTTCAAATTAATTATAATGTCTGTCAACCAGCGTCCATAATATAAATGACGTCATTTTCATTTCAAAACGGGTTCTCCAAAACTTGCAAAAACCAAGTTTTTTGTCAACTTTATTTACATAAACAGATATTCAATATGCCCACCATTTTGATCAAATGTAGCCCTCAATTTTGACCTAAACTGGTCAATAGCATCATTGATGTGCTGATGAGACAATGAATTTCACTTCTCAATAATACCATAATTACTCCTGACTGAGTAGACGTAAGTTAGTTCTCTCAATATGTGGTCATCGCAGACGTTGATATCGGATGACCCAATTATGCTGATTTTGGACCATCCTGATATGAGCTCATTTTCAAATCATTACATTTTCCAACAAGATGGGGCTAGATCCCACAAGAGTGTCAAGTAGTTAAAAGAAAAGGTGCCTAGATCCATCCCCCCTTAATCTGTTAATCACTGCCTCCCCAGATCACCCGATTACCCAACATCTGCGATGCGACAACCACGTATTGGGAGAACTAACAGAATTAGTGTACTATAAATCCTTTACTATTATATATATTCAGTTCCTGAAGGACAGAATTATTGAGAAGTGAAATTCATTGTCTCAACAGCATATCATGATGCTATTGACCAGTCTAGGCCAAAATTAAGGGCTACAATTGATCAAAATGGTGGACATATTGAACGTCTGTTTATGTAAATAAAGTTGACAATAAAATTTGGTTTTTGCAAGTTTCGGAAACCCCGTTTTGGAACGAAAATGACGTCATTTATATTATGGACGCTGGTTGACAGACATTATAATAGATTTGAACTTATGATATACCAAATTAAAGATGAGTAAATTCCCTATCCATTGGTATATAATATGACATGTTTCATATAGAAAATCAATATTTTTTATTTTTGAAATACGAGTGTCCCATTTTTTTGGACCACCCTGTATTAGTGTAAGACTGTGGATTTATATGACAATCTTAAAAAGCTTTACCTAATTAGGAATGTAGTGCAAAGCCAGCCAGGGGATAAGGTCTTTGATCCTACCATAAATATTTACAATATGACTATTTTTCGATAGCCTCATTTGCCTTTGGAGGAGTAATGCGCAAGAGGAGATATCTAACAATGTTGGACCCTTTTAATGAGAAATATGGAAAAGAAGTTACTGCCGTATTGTTTCTCGGTGCTCTTTTTGCTGATATAGTGTGGGCTGCCGCTATTCTGAGTGCATTGGGTGAGAATATAAATATTATGTTTACTACTTATCTAATATCTGCAATTTTATCCCATGTCTTCAAAATGTGATTCTCTCCACATTATCAGTATTCTCACACTAAATAGGCACTTTATCATTCTTATTGGCCCAACCTGTATATGTCTCTGAACCCTTTAATTAAAAATCATTGTCAAATGTCAATATGCATACCTTTTGAGAAGAACCCAGCCTAGTTATTTCTTTTCTATTGCCATATTGCAACGGCAGTCCGGTGTCAAATTCCTTTTCCACTGGCCTCAGCCAAATAATTATAACCGCTTGTAAACTCATGTAAATATTTCCATAGGCTCAAGTCTTCAAGTGATGATTGAACTTGATTTTGTGATTTCCGTTGTTGTATCGGCAGCGATAGCAGTATTCTACACGATGATTGGTCAAATGATAGCCGTGGCTTACACAGACGTCGTTGAGTTGGCGTTTATAATTATTGGATTGGTTAGTATATTATCACTGGTGATCCGCTCGATTTGGTAACAAAATGTCGGAACGTCGGAGGTACGATTTTTCTTTTTTCCTTATTTCACGCGTTGTAGGCAGAATCCCTCCGATGTTTTTCTCACAAACGTGTAGGGCCTCTATGAATTGCTTGCAATTTTAATTTCAAAATTCTATTTTCAGAGCATTGCCATACCATTTGCAGCAACAAATGAAAATGTCAACCTAAGCTCACTAAGTGAAACACCGGAGAAATGGCGGGGCACTATTGAACCAATGCAGATTGCATCTTACATAGATATGTTTCTCGCACTGTGGGTAAGTAACATATAATGCACAGTTGTATACAAATCGATTGGTCCTCAATTCCTGAACAGTTCAGTGTGAAATATGAATAATTCATATGATATAACTTGAACCGTGCCATGTATTATATATCATTTTAAAGATAAATCATTTCCTTACAATATGAAACCCACCATCTGATTGAAAAATCGTTGTTTTTGTGGAGTTAGAGGCTTAAATTGACACTAGCAGGGGTGTTATGAGTGACTAAAAATCGAAAAATGAAAATTCCGAAATTTCCCTCAATATTGCAGTCACAGCTGTACTCATTATACGAATCATTTCAACTGATTTATTTAAGAGTAAAACACGAGTGATACCACAATTGACAATTTAATTAAAAAGATATAAGTATTATGGGTGACTTTTTCACTTGTATAAATATACCTCTTTTGAAGGTGCCAAAGTTCTCTTCCTCCATTTTCTACAATTTGAAAATCTGCAGAGAATAATTTCTCGGTCCCTCGTGACATCCCTGGTGTAAATTTTAGCTTCTATCTCCACAAGAAAAACGGTTTTGAACCACATGATGTCATATTGTTAAAGAATTATTTATCATTGAAATATGTATATATAATTATGTTATCCCCCTTAATTTCAAAAGTATGAACTTTTGTGCATAAAAGCTCAACTATTTGAGCTAGTCATCTGAAGCTTCTTGTTGTTCCATGAAGCTTAGTTTTGATGTGCCAAAGAACAATTCAGATATCATGCAGACAAAAAAGTTATGCAAAATTATGTGGGTGTTAAAGAATTATGGTTCTTGAAACGCAAAATGGCACAAAACCATATGACTTCTGTTGGACTCGCTTTAAATAAATCCAAAACTTCAAATTCGTTCTTGAACCTCGACTTCTGATCAATTCAATGAAGAACGGATTTGTGCCATTCTGCACTTAAAAATCATTCAAGAACTGTTTTCAAACAGTGAAAAATAGTATTTGTTTGTATTTTCTTGAATTCACTATATAAATATTCAAGAACTGTTTATCCGTTTATGCCATTGCATTTATTTTTGACTATTGATTTTTATCTATTTTCATCCATGAATCCCAGATATTATCAAGTGTACCATGGCAGTGTTTCATCCAACGGTTCTTATCGGCAAAATCGGTCAGAGGTGCAAAGATAATGGGCGTGGTTGGAGGAATTTTGGTCGCAATTGTTGGAGTAGCACCAATTACTATCGGAGTTATAGGAATTGCGACTGGTATAGATATTCACTTATTAATATAAATCAGAAAACGCCTCAAATTTTAAAGGTGAACTTGAATAAATCTACAGGGTGTCAAATAAATCCCGATCCCCGTCTCGCAACCAGCTTAAACTATTAATACATGGTATCAAGTGTGCTGTACAATAAGGAAGCGCATGAGGAAAAACTCACATAGTTCATCATATACAGTATATCTGTGCTTTTAGTAAACAGGATCATAACAAATAATCAAGGGAAATATATCAATTGTTACATATGTTGCAGTCTGTCATAGCTTTATGTAAAAGGGAGGGTAGAGGTCTTATCTGACGACACACACATATAAAAACGTCGAAGTTTATATGCAAAGGTTGAGTACTTTTATACTTCTATCTCCTTACCTACAGGGCGTCCACAAAAAAGCATACCCAACTTCAAAACCAATTTATTAGAATTCTGAGCAATTTAAAAAAATGCAAAGGTAGCAGTAAAAAGCCTAATTTGTTCTTCATCAAATGGTACCTAGATCATTATGTAACTGTCATGGATGACTGAGCAATTGGCTTAGTATTCTTTTTCTGTCACATTTCTGTTATACAGTGTGTCCCAAAAAAAAGGAAACCGGCAATAGATTGCTTATTTCTCAAATATGAATAATAATAGGAAAATTTCACAGCTACCATTTGATAGGTTATGATGTCCTTTTTCTTATGATACCATAGGTGTTTATTTTTCTTCATGGATGACTGAGTTCTAAGAGATTTAAGTGACCATGTCAGAAATTGGTTTGTGCCACTTTTTCTGTCATGAATGGCTGATCAATGAGGGATTAAAATGGCTATGCAAGACCATGTCCTATTCGAAATACACATTTATGAACAAGCATTCAACATAGCAAGTTCATGCAGCTGACCCAAGATCAAAGAGTATTCGTAGTACGTGAGTGGCTCAGAAGTGGGAGCCTTCAGCAGGTTGCTGATCAGTTTAGAGTACGCTTCCCAGATAGAAATGTACCTGCTAAGTAGACAATCTGGAAGAATATCAAGAAGTATCAGAGAGAAGGAACAAGTCTCAATCAAGGGTAAATTCTTCACAACACCACCAAGAGACGTTGATGATCTAAGGGCCAGGATTGTCGCAGCAGTGGAGGATCTAAGGGGACAGAGAGACATCATCAGGGATGCAGTACATGCGATGAGATCAAGGGCAGACATTTGCATTGAAAGGAATGGGGGTCATGTTGAAGGACACTGGGGTTAAAACAACTTTGAATAGACATTGGGATTTAAAAGGGGTGTTAAATATGATATGTGTAATTTTAATTGGAATAAATGAGTATAAGAGTGATATCCTGATGTTTGTTGTTACTTATCACTTTGTTATGATGGTGAAATTGACTTAGCTGAAAGTGGTACAAACTCATTTCTGACATGGTCATTTAAATCCCTTATAATTCAGTCATCCGTGAAGGAAAATAGACAACTTTGGTATCATAAGAAAGAGGACATCATAATCTATCAGATGGTAGCTGTGAAATTTTCCTATCATTATTCATATTTGAGAAATAAGCAATCTATTGCTGGTTTCCTTTTTTTTGGGACACCATGTATTGTGTATTTTTAAAGAATTGCTCAGAATTCTAATATCCTGGCTTTGAAGATGGGTATACATTTTTTGGACACCCAGTATATCTCTTTCATATGGCATTCAACGATTCTTACTATTTTCTTCGTTCAGATTGGAAAAATACAAGTTATGGTGAGGATCCTATACCCAACGAAGCAAATATGATACTGCCTTTAGTGATTTTTCATCTAACACCTGAACCTGTAGCAATAATCGGTAAGAAATCATTTTCCTTTGGTGAAATTATTCACACAAAGCTAAGCAAGGTGTGTCCCATTAAAGCCAATCACAACACAGTATTTTATAAAATTACAATGCATTATACCATCAACTCACCCAAATGTCATTTTTTGATTCTAGTGAAACTAATGAAACCAATAAGCAGAATAGTTGGGTAAAAATATATAAAAGTATCTTACGGAATAACAAGTCAAGTGCTTATGCAGGTCAAATGGTGTTGAGTTGTTGTCAAGGTGACAACTTGACCCTTGCATAAAGATTCCTTGAAAATATATAGTGATTTTGTATCTTTTAAGTGACAATTCTTTTGTGGAATGATAATAAGTCCACAATGCGCAGAGTCCACGCAGTGATTCAAATTCTATAATAATAGTGTTGATGCGTTGTATAAAGTTACTAGGCTTACTCGATTATAGCAGCATTTGATACAATGTATACACATGCGCTGATTCTGAGTATAAAATATGCACTCCCTTCCAAAACTAGCACTTTTTAAAACGGGAGAAGATAATGCACTCCAGATTTTTAAAGAGGATGATGATTTTAATATGATTTTAAAGGCCAAGGCAATTTATTTTATGTATAAAAAACGCAACATGTTGATGTAAATATGTTTGGAAAAAAATATTGAAAATTGTAATGTACTCACATAGAAATAATGTGGTAATAAAGGATACAATACAATACAATTGGCAAGCGGAAGTAATCATTGGATTGGATAACAAATGGCAGTCAATATTTTCTTCTTATTCCCTTACTAGTGCAACAATAGTTCGGATATTAATGACTTCAATGAATCGTTTCAAATCGCCAATCATAAACAGACTTTGAAAAGTGATCCAATATGGGACTTCCGGTTTCCAAAATTGTGTAGTTGAGTGTATGTGACCTATATATCACCTACTTCGCATATGATGACAGTTAGGGGGCCTAAAACTAAAAAATATCATTTGTATATCCAGGACTTTGCGCAATAACAGCTGCTGTGATGTCCTCCATAGACTCAGCCATATTGGGGTCAAGTGGAATGTTCACCCAAAATGTTTACAGAGTCATTATCCATAAAAAGGTACATTCGGGATTTTTTAAAAAGTTTTGTTAACATAAACAGTGATAAAAAGAAATATTGGAGTCAATGTTAGCATTTAGAATCGAAAATCACAATCCTACTCGCGAATTTTTGAGAACCAGCCAGATTTCGTTAAAAATCGAAATGCTGAGACGATGTTCATGTTTTCTGTTCCAGGCATCACCACGAGAATTAACGTGGGTACGACGAGTATCACTCGTAGTGTTAGGAGTTGGGGCGTCGTTAATAGCAATCTATGGAGGAAAAACTGTCATTGGGTTGTATTATATTTCTGCAGATATTGCTTTGGTCGTGTTCGCTCCTCAACTAATTTGTAGCATGTACATTGATGTTTCCAATGGATATGGTGCCATGTTGGGCTCTGGTTTGGCATTAGTTCTTATCTTTGGAAATGGTGTGTCTGCGTTAGATATATCCCCTTTTGTTCCATACCCACCATATGACAGTGAAAATGTTTTTCCTGTTCGTATTCTATGTGTGATCGTTGCTCTCTTAACCACAGTTATAATTTCTTACTTCACGAAGATGATGTTCAAAAAGAGGCTATTGGCTCGAAGATTCGATATTTTGAACCAGTTCTCGACGACTGTAATGGTGAATGCGGATATCCCTGTTGGACAAGAGCTAAAATCAGACGGAAACAAGGATACATATGAAGCAAAAGACCTTAACGCCGAAGCTTTCGACAACCCCTAAACGATTACAGATAACCTCAAACCATAGTACTGTAAACTCTACTCTACAAATTACAGTCAGGGTTCCTAAAAGGGCACGGCACTACTGGTCAATTCTAAAATGCCAAATGCCTCCTTACATTTTCAACAATATAGACATATCCCACATGCAACTGAGAAACCCAGTAGATTTCCATTTACCTAGAATATATCCACTAAATTTGGCAACTCCTGCATTTTTACATGTATTAATATTTGGAATTCACTTTCACTGTCTCGAATTAAGATGTAAACAAACAATATATCAACTTTTAAAAAGCATGTCAAAAGAAATTTTTCATCTCAACCTAACCCTACTATCACACCAAACTCGTTCTTACTACGTTCTCGAAAACGGGCTTCAACTGTGTACGAACGGACTTGACCTACTAAGAACCGTTTGGGATCTATTTACAAACTTCATCGAACGTACTCGAACGGGTAGGTCCTCTAGAACTTAGACAATGCTCAAAATGTTCTCGTGGTCGTCACGTTCTACAATTAGACCGAGTGACAACGTACTAACGACGAGCTGGACGTACTACGAACGGAACCGTCGTACTTCAATCCTACTAGGGACGTTTTAACAACGAGTTGAACTGTCTGAGGACGTGTTGAGAACGAGGTAGAACTAATTGCAAACGGGTTTAAACTGATTAAGAACGTATTTAACACTGCTTATTAACGAGTTAGCAAAAATATAGCTATCACACCAAACAAGTTGCCACTGCGTTCTTCAAAACTGGTTTTAAACTGTGTGCGAACGGAATGAACGTAGCTGCAACTTTCTAAGGTCTATTTACGAACTTTATAAACGTTCTCAGACGGAAATGTGATTTTAGAATTTTGAATCGATTCAAAATTCGATGGCGACCATACCGTTCTGTAATCAGGTCATGTTGACCTTCTAGACTAAGAGACGCGTTCTACGACGTTGCACACCGACGTGGTGCGACCTGAACGAACTGCGAACGAGATGGACGTATTGAAGACTGTTTAAGAACGAAGAAGCTAATTATTTCAGACATATTTCCCGACCACAGCCAGATTGAGCCCGTTTTACGACGTTTTCGTAGGACTGGCAAGAACGGATAAGAACTAGTTTGGTGTGATAGGGGGGTAAGATACCTACAAATTGTCAAAACATTGACATTGCTAGACCTTTTGAAGTTAGAGTAGCATTTCTCTTAAAATCACATAAATATGCACATACTTTTCCGAGAATTTTGGATGACCTTTGTCAAAACCACAAACCACGGAACACTTCCGTCTTCACTCAACCCACATCGATGAGAAACTAACTTTACTCGCAAAACTTACAGAGTTGAATGCAATCGAAATTTTCCTTGAATCAAATGCTCGAGACAAGATCGAACTTTTACTAAATTGGAATGACGCACTTAAATTAGAAGAAAGTCAGATGCTGCAGATTACTGCCACCTATATTTAAAACTGCAATTAATCATTTTCATTTTACTTTCTACCTCGCTAAACACCCCATATAGAAAACCTAACCTAGCATCTTGTTAATTGTATTTTTATTGTATTTCTGTATAAAAACTGCCACCAACTTTGGCGGTCTATGTGTTGTATATTTGAATATATTTACAGGAATAAAGAAGAAAAAGTACTGTAAAAACCGCAACCCTCTCTCGGAGTAGCGTTGTGGACTTGTTTGGGGGCAAACTTGAACGCATCCTGTGAGGTTTTCTGACTACACGCTCACAAATATCTTGTGTAAATTGTAATGGCTCTCATTTCCCTTTTAATCTCTTGTTTCAAGTCTCTGATGCTTCTAGGGTTGTAATTATACACATTACACGTCACTTTGCAGACAGGATACTCTTTGGAGCGAGTCTTTGGCAGTAGATAGAAAACTGGGTGCATCAGAACGCCACGGGCCGCCACGGGCCCGGGGCTTTCAAAATCTCTGAAGATGAGCAGGAGATATTGATGAGCAGGAGATAAATTAATTGAATGGGGATTAGGAGATAAATTAATTGGATGGGGCTTTCATCTTAAATGTGTAAAAATGTTAGATAAGATGCGCATGACATCATTGTTATCATAAATGGGTGAGAGATAAGATGCGCATGACATCATTGTTATCTTAAAAATCAAACATCAATTACTACATCAAATAACTGAGAAAAAAGTAATGTACAATATTGTTTAATTTATTTGCATTTATTTTACAAACAAAAGTACCACATAATCTAATTAATCCTTATTATCACTAGCAGAATCATTGGTTTCATCAGATTCATCATCACTAGATTCACTAGCTTCGTCATTGTCACTAGAGTCAGTATACGATTTATCTGAAACATTTGCATCATATAGGAGATAAATTAATTGGATGGGGATTAGGAGATAAATTAATTGGATGGGGCTTTCATCTTAAATGTGTAAAATTGTTAGATAAGATGCGCATGACATCATTGTTATCATAAATGGGTGAGGGATAAGATGCGCATGACATCATTGTTATCTTAAAAATCAAACATCAAATAACTGAGAAAAAATTAATGTACAATATTGTTTAATTTATTTGCATTTATTTTACAAACAAAGGTACCACATAATCTAATTAATCCTTATTATCACTAGGAGAATCATTGGTTTCATCAGATTCATTATCACTAGATTCACTAGCTTCGTCATTGTCACTAGAGTCAGTATACGATTCATCTGAAACATTTGCATCATCATAAAGTCCTACATTAATAATGTCTTCTGTCATATAGTTGTGGTGTAACATGGTCTTCTTAAAAGCATCTTCAAACGGTATGCCTGCACTCATTAATTGCTGGATGTCTACCATGATTTCTTTATGTGTTGGACTACATTGTAAATCTAGTAAATCTTCAACTAAATACTTGTAGTATGTCTTAAACGTTTCTCTTATTTTGGGTAGGAATTTTTGATTCGCCATATATCTTCTATCATACTCAGAATTCCCCTTCTGTTTGTCTATATATTTTGCCTCTTGTTCTTCAATTTGATCTTTAAATTTATTAATAGCTTTATCCTTTAGACGCATATACACAGGGTTTTCCTGAAACCCTTCAGTGCATACCTTCTTCATTGGAGGGTCGTCTTTATCCTCATTCAATGGACAGTTTTGGATATGATTCTGTAGATCCATTCTTGATATTAACATGACGCCACAATAGTCACAATGACATATTTCTTTCATGTTGTAATTTTTGTTGTCAGAATGCATAACGTTGCTGGGGATAGTATCTTTTATACTCGCAGTGAACTGATATGGAGGTTTCATTATTGAAGTATCATACTGTGACATCTCTTTAAATGGGTTTTCAGTAGAATTCAAATCATATGGTAGTGCTATGTCATTGGATTGTACTGTCTTAGTAAATGGTTCTCCCTTTAGATGACTACTATCATGCTCATTCATTGTTTGATGAGTCTTATCATAACACAGTCTTAAATGCTCTGGGGTTTCTTGCTTTAGATCAATCAGTAAATGTCCATATGGTTTTAGAGTAGCTGCATTATAAGCATCTAAGAGTTTGTGACTGTTCCCAGGATACATCTGCTGAGAAAGTACTCTTACTTGGTTTTGATCTCTTGGATTCTTGTACAGTACAATGTAATGCGTATTCAAGCTGATGGTTCGATTCTCCCTTCCATGATGGAAGATATTCTGCAGTAAACAGATTACACTCAGGTTTCTGTGATGACTCCCTTTAGTAAACAAATCAGAGATCTTCCTGTCTTTGGTAGCATCTGACATCAAGTCATCAACAATCATTAAATTACGCACTCTAGGATTTAAGAAATCTGGACTGTTTAAATCATTTGGAATTCCCATCATGAATTCTATTCCAGGATGTGTGTTCTTAATCTCTATGTAAAGTGGTTGCCATTGTCCAAAACACCAGATAATACGCTGTGGAGGGGGTTGGATGCGTTGCTCTACATTTTCCAAAAGTTGCTTGACAAAGGTAGTTTTCCCACAGCCTGTGGGGCCAGTGACCAACATGGTAAAGGGGTGATGCAACACTTTGTCCATACCTACATGTATGTCTTCTTTACCTAGTGCAGAGTGCATGCCTTTGTGTCTCGCTAAACTTGAAGCATGTCTAAATTCTTTACCACAATGACAGTAATACATGTTACTGCCTCAAAGACTGATAACAAAATGGATTCAATTCATAATTTCATTCTGTTATGTATATGTGTTCAAAGGCATGTTCAAGAATGCTAATTTAAATGTATGCTAACAGATGCTAATGCTAATAGATGCTAATGGTAATGCTAAGTAATGCTAACAGATGCTAATGCTAATGCTAACAGATACTAATGCTAATGCTAACACGTGCTAACAGATGCTAATGCTAATAGATGCTAATGGTAATGCTAACAGATGCTAATGCTAATGCTAACAGATACTAATGCTAATGCTAACAGATGCTGATGCTAATGGTAATGCTAAGTAATGCTAACAGATACTAACATATGCTAATGATGATGCTAACAGATGCTAATGGTAATAGATGCTAATGGTAATGCTAACAGATGCTAATGCTAATGCTAACAGATGCTAACATATGCTAATGATGATGCTAACAGATGCTAATGGTAATGCTAACAGATGCTAATGCTAATGCTAACATATGCTTACATATGCTTATGATGATGCTAACAGATGCTAATGCTAATGCTAACAGATACTAATGCTAATGCTAACAGATGCTAACATATGCTAATGATGATGCTAACAGATGCTAATGGTAATGCTAACAGATGCTAATGATAATGCTAACATATGCTAATGATAATGCTAACAGATGCTAATGAGGTAATGCTAACTAATGTTCATACATATTCAAACCATTTGTAAATGACTGTAAATAGCAAACAACATTTGAAACGTTAGTTATTTATTTTTATTCATATCGTTCAGTATTATATACAAATAACTTTAATCGTCCATCCTTGCTGGGATACCAGGTGGTGTGTATAAGAATGTCCGTTTCTTTCTTGTATTCGAAGTGTTTTGTTTTTTCTGTTTAAATGGATGTTTCTTCTTTATATTTACAGAGTTTTGTTGTTTCTCTTTAGATGGTCTATACTCTTCATATTTCATATCTTCATGTTGACGTTTCAATTGTGCCTTTGCTCTGTCGACAACTGCAGTCATGGGTGAAATGATTTGTACCGGTTTAGTATCTTCTTTAATGTCATCTATGCCTATCCATCCTCTTCCTGTTTGAGATACTTTCAATCTATTCTGTCTGCCAGCTCGAATAAGTTTCAACCAATGTTCTGGGTTGTCTACATATGGTACTAGTTTCATGGTTTTTAGTTGATGTGTATATATCAAGTATGAGGATTGAAATGATGAAGATTTGAATATTTCACTCAATATATATTGTCAAATGGCATCAATATCAACTTCTTATCAACATCTGATGTCGTGATATTCTTAGAAACTGATGTCGTGAATTAATGTAGTTCTTGTTGTTATTGACCATTCCAGATTAGAAAGTTGAAAGATTATTTATATTCTTAAGATACATTCAATAGATTTTTCTGTCAAACTTCTGGAACCTTCCAGAATAATGACTCATCGCTATAATCTGTTTTTGAAAAAGGGGATTAACACTGTAAACAAAAGATGTTCTAGAATATGAAGGATTAACATTGTGATGACACAATTAAATGTCAACATTCAATTATTACATTAAAAAACCATTATTGTTGAAATCAAGTATAGTAAGATCAAATGGTCAATTCAATATAGGACTTAAATAAATAAACCTTTTCAACGGTCAATTCAATATATGACTTAAATAAATAAACCTTTTCATCTGTACACATATTTAATCCAAAATCCAGTTCTCTTTCCTTTTATGCGAACAGTATTTGTTTGACCAGCTCAGTAGGATTATTGATTCTTTTCAATGTTGGGTTAATATTGAAAGTAGAATTGTAAACACTGTTAATGGATTATACCAAATTTAAAATAATATTAAAGGGATTTATTTTGTACTTTACTATTCAGTCCAAGAAATACATTTCTCACCCATTTAAGATAACAATGATGTCATGCGCATCTTATCTCTCACCCATTTAAGATAACAATGATGTCATGCGCATCTTATCTAACATTTTTACACATTTAAGATGAAAGCCCCATCCAATTAATTTATCTCCTAATCCCCATTCAATTAATTTATCTCCTGCTCATCAATATCTCCTGCTCATCTTCAGAGATTTTGAAAGCCCCGGGCCCGTGGCGGCCCGTGGCGGCCCGTGGCGTTCTGATGCACCCAGTTTTCTATCTACTTTTGGCCACCCTCTTATTTTCGATCTGGTTAAACAAATAATAGCTATATATAGAGACAAAGGACGAAACTTGCCAGGATGATTACTGTATGTATAATGAGGACATTATTATGGCATATTATGATCTATTTTGATATTATAAATTATTGTTTTTCGAAACTTCTTAATAAAAGTTGGAAATGCCATTTGATAAATTAAATTGTGTCACTTTCTTTGGTTGACGACATACACAAGATTCAGAAAATATTATGGAATGAATAGGTTACACCCCAGTCACATTTGTCGCACGGCGGCCGCTAGTCGACCGGAGATCAATTAAATCGGTGAATTTCTGCGGCGAGCGTAGAAAAACTACGCTCGCCTTGCGGCCTCCGTACGGCGTATGCAGATTTTTACAGGCCGCAGGGAAGGCGTAGAAATTATAACTCGGAGTTATAATTTTTGTTCATTTCTGAGGTCGCCGTAGAAATCAACTGGCTCGACAAGATTGAATCATTATTTGTCAATGTTTCACGATCACTTTTCATTTGATATTACATCCTAGCACTATGAATAACATTTATAAGTTGTCCCGATGTAAATAAAATGAAAAAAGTATTATTTATCAACAGAAATTTAAAATTCACCGTGCGGCTGCCATGGGAAATGTGACTGCAAAAGTATGAGAGCGCAGAAATTCCACGGCGAGTGTAGAAATGTTACTGGCCGCAGAAATGATAGACCGCAAGGTCGCCGTAGGAAATGTGACTGGGGTGTTACTGATGGTCGTGTTGGAGTGTGACTTTTTCTCGAGAATATATGATATTGGCCTCGGAAAATATCATTTTGACCTCGGGCTGTCGCCCTCGGTCAATATATTTTCCTTGGTCAATATCATATTTTCCGTCGAAATAAAATTTCATATTCCATCCCTCTCATTAAATAACCTTTATCTTATAGACATTGCTACGTAATTAATAACTGTAACCACAATTAGAAAAAGTTTATGGGAAATGGGAGTCTAACCTTATATCCTTTGGTTTATTCCAAAGCAATATACTTACACTTTCTTGACCTGTAAATTAATCACTGTAGTGGTTAACAATGTTATTAATTATTGGGGCATATAAAAAGCCCCAAACAGAAAAAACGGTGGTTGATAGGGGACGGTGGAGGGACGAAACAAAATTGCATGCTTACCTACACTTTATTCGTCACAAAAGTGTAAAAAACTTGAGGAGATAATTCAATAATTTGTCTTCGAGCAGGATGGGCGCTATCTTGTCTTTCAAAACCCACACTGCGTTCTGATTGGCTGATCGTCGTGTGCCACTCATTGATTGGCTCCTGGCATGTGTTCAAGTTCCAGCGGGAAATTCAAATAACCAAAACTCTATTAAAGGCTAGACTCCACAATCTCCCGATAAAATACATTATGTATATAATGTTTATCTATACAATATCTACATAAAAAAGACTAGTTCACAACTGTAAAAAGAAAAGAAGAAAAATTAGTATCCCGCACACGTTTTTGTCGCATATTTTGAAGTACTGTAGAAAATATGTAGCATTATAACGTTGACTCCAACCCATTTTAGTATTCCAGCACTTGTGGAATACAGATGCTGCCTTTTTAGATTCCAAAAATATCGCATTTGCACAGATTAGTATAAAAAGATGGGCAATCCATGCATTACACAATGTTTCTAATCAAAATGTATGTAATAAAATTTTGTCAAAAATTGTGCAAATTAAAAGTGTGTATATAAACTTTCACAAGCCAATCCCTAAATGATATTATTCCACAAAAACATCAAAAACTTGTGTTGGTGCTTATACAATAAGTCTTTGTCATTGTATGTGTGGGAGTATGGGAGAAGAGTGTTAATCTCTCTGAACTAAATAAACAATCTTGAGTTCTATGAACATTTCAATGTCATCTTACCTACCTAAGATATATGATAGTCGTGGCTCTGTCTATGGTTCGACCGTAACGGGATTCCTGGAAGTTCATTGTCTACTTTAGACAAACAGAGACTCTCCCACAAAATGAAAACATAAAAATAATATTCGGTATTCGCGTGCTAATTGATTCCCACTGTTCAGTCATCGTAATTACCAAACCCAGTTACTTATACCGCATTTTTAATCTTGATAATTTCAAATTCAAACATTACCTTGGGACATGAAAAAACACCGGCTTGAATAAACAAGTCTTTCAACTCAGTTAGGTATTTTAAAACTGAGAACATGATTACCTGTACGAAAAAAATGAGTTTTTAAAAATTACTACTCAAAAGTTATGAAGACCTAAACTTCAACCTCTGATTTCTTAATATCAGCGAAAATGCAATTGTAACAATGTGGAAATAATTGGACGAAATGTCATTGGTATGCACCTCTAGATTTGTTATTTCTCAGGTTAAACCGCTTGTAGTCCATGGTATGAAATCTCTAGGACGTCTAATAAAGGAGCTGGTAGCACACTATAGCGCAGCGATATTTGACCTAACATTGACATACCTACACATGTTCCCGAATAATTGTTATTATAACCGTTTAATATACTTCCGGCTTTTAGGCTGAATTATGCCTGCCATTAACAGAGGTCAAAAATTACTGAAAAATAAAATTACAATTTTCACAATTTGGAGTACACAATGCAACGGAAAATAATACAAAATGATTTTAAATATATGATTTTAGGTTACTAGGCCATGAGTTTGAGGTTATTATCAATGCCCAAAAATTATGTAATCAGTGTATCGACGTTTTGTATTGTTTCTCAGGTATTAAAAAGATAAATGCTACAAATGAATCACTTTTATATTAGAATGACAAATGCTTAAATTATGCTAGTTTTTCCCAAAATGGGTCTCAATACGTTTTGAGATACACACAATTTTGTTGAATTGGCTTGGCTCATATTTGAAAAATCAAACAGAATCTGAAAAACACACTTGCGTAATTAACAATTATTAAGCACCGACAATTAGACTTTGAAATGAAGACGAGACAGTATGATATATTGACTCAGTTTGTTATTATCAGGTTTAGGTATGTCAAAGTCAAGCTGAACTTTTTAACAATATAACTTACTTTCTTAAAATGGGGCAACGTCATTCTGAGAAAAAGGGATATCCATCATGTAGGCGTACCGTACTTGTAATTGTATATTAACTCTCATAATTCAGCATAAAAACACAATATAATGTAATACAATACGATGCAATACAATACAATGTTGTACAATATAGGTGTACAGTACCATTTTATGCTACCCCATATGGTCCTCCATACTGCTCTCAGTTGGGTTTACCCAAAAAGTGAATAGACAGATTTAGCAGGAGGAAAGAAAGAAAGAATAAAGAAAACAGCCAAAAGCAAGACTGGAGTCTAACAAAGAAATATAAATGAATATAAAGCTACAGTCACAAAAAGCAATGTTACGTAAACAGTATAAACTAAAGCTAGCTATCATACCAAACAACGGTTATTTGCGCTTAAATTATGGCCAACATGTATTTGTTGTCAACTAGCACAATAGAGTAACATCAATAAAAATTGTATGAAAATCTTTGTGAAAATATGTAATATGTATTTCAGTGTAAAACAGATTTATACACTATTTTATCATTATAATCAATAGTCAATATGTTGCCAAACCCACGTACGTATTTCTAAAAGAGTGGGCGGCGTGGGCAAGGCCATTGAAATGCAAAAATGCTTTCTACTTAAGGAACTGTTTAAACGAAATCATTCATTCGAATTTGGAGCGCTAGCGTTTCTCAGAGGAAAAAAAGTTGCAGACTTCATAATCGGAAGGTGAGAAAAAATATTTTTTGCTGGTCATTCAATCAATAGTTATCAGGAAAATCATGTTCAAAATTTTACACTTACAATTACTGACACGCAAACTCTTCATGTCACACCGGAATAGCCTGACAACGGTAAAGACAGATACTGTTGTCACACATGGCGGACATAACCGTCGCTACATTTAGATTTTTATGAACCTGATTTGATCTCGGATGATCTCAGAGACACAAGGTATTTTTCAAACGTCACTTGAGAGATATAAGCAGAATAATCCACTTTACAATTATCACAAATTATCACAATTATCATTGTTACAAACCAAATCGTATAATAATGAAGACCAGCTAGTAAATTTTAACAAGTCAGCCAAAACCGTTAAACCAAAATGTTCCATATACAAACCAAAATGGATCCATTTACAAACCAAAACATTGGAAAAAATGCCTGCCTGCCTCTTCCTAAACCGTTTGATCTTGGCCAACCATACTTGGTCAACATATCAAGTGGATCGGTGGGCATTCTACGAAGGTTAGAGGTCAAGGTTATTCCAAGGTCAAAGGTCAACATCTAGGTATTTGGCTTTTTAAGACCCTTGGTTTGTGCTGTAAACCTTGATGACCAATGATTAGGTGACCTGAGGTCAAGATCAACTTTATGAGTCAAGTTTATTCTAAGGTATAAGGTCATTATCTTGGTATTTGCCGTTTTAACGCAATTGTAGGGCGATGTGATCCTTGGCGACCCATAATTAGGTGACCAAGTCAAGGTCATGGTCATTCCAACGGGTAGATTGCTAGTTATATTAACTTTGAGCTTAGCCTGAAATGCCTTCTTTGGCGATTGGCAAGCTTTTTTTGTCCCATCATTGTTTACTGAAAATTAAATATTGATAAAAATCTACAGTTTTCTGGAATATAAAATAATGACTTAATTTTAGAAAATATATGGATAGGGATGGCACATACTAGTAAGTTGATAATTTTCTAAAATTGAAATACAACTTTTGGAAATCTTGTTCGTTAGATATGATCCTGCCTTTAATTAAATCAATTGCATGTATTTTTGCAGCTCACATTTGAAGAACCATGATGAAGAAATTCCAGCATTACATCGATGAGTACCACAACGCCTTGGGGAACGACATGAAAAAGTATGACAAATTAAAAGATTTGGATATCTTCGTTCTGGACAACTCTATGCGAGAGAGTACTGTTGGGCAACTTAGAGGCCATTCGATTGAAAGAAACGCGCCATCTTGAATGAAGTAAAGAAATGTGGTTTCAAACATACCATCATAGCCTCGTTTTCGCACATGACGCGAGTGGATGATGAATGGATGAAACTGCTGATTGATGAAGGCGAAGATCCCGAGTATTTATGGGCTTTCTCTGAGGTGACTGAAGGTAAATAACAATTTGAGTCCTTTCCATCACGTTTGTTACTTTCTCTCATTTGTCATACCTAAGGCAATTTGTCATACATGAGGCAAAGGCAAAAATGTAATTGAAACTGACAGTGAACACGTTTCGTGCCGTCGATCTTATATTTTCAATGTTATTGTGACTGTAATGAATGTGTATAAGCGTTTTCACTGTAATCTCTCACGTTATAAATGACTTACATGTTTTTTATTCACCGCCCCTTAGTTTTCACATGATCTAATTATTAGGTGCCAAACCAGATCGCACTCCCGAAACTGAAACTGTGCCAGTTGGACTGCGAAAAATAAAGGAAGCAGGCGTACGTAACGTATTTTTCGAGGTAGATCTTGGTGACGCCACGTATGATTTCGATCGTTTTTCCATGAAAGAGATGTGCAAGCTCACCAAAAAGTGGATAAGATGGTGCTACGACAATCTGCACCCAAATGCCAAAGTTTTGATTAACATCCGAGATATAGAGGCAGTAATGGAAACGCATCCTGAACGTGTGTGTAAGTTTGTCCAATCTATCTCGAAGATGCCCTGTGACAGACGTCCATTTGGCTTTGCATATGAAGAGCCCGGGAAGTCTTTACCAGAGGAATGCGGACATTGGGCGAGGCTCATCCGGAAGATTATGGATGCTAACAACTTTAATGGGCATTTGCTTGTACATGTGCATGAGAAATATGGCTATTGTGACGCAACAGCTCTACAGGTAGGGTTTTAAACTATGCATATGTGGACAACTTTACCATACCTTAATTCTTTAACTTATCTGCTATGCATACATTGGGGAAGTTTACAGTTCACTCGATCTCACACATCCCCAGACACACATGTCACATTGGAATCGACCTGAAACCTCCCTAGTATATTATAAACAATATAAAGAATATTATAAAGAATGGGACGATTGCCCGACATCGAGGGCCCATGGGTTCGGTAACCACTTGGCTGAGTTTACTTTTTCAATAACTAGTTTGATATCTTTAAAAGTATCATTATATTACTTTAGTGCTTGATGGACGGAGCTGATGGTATCTGGGCAAGCATGTGTGGAGAAGGAGCGGCCATGGGTCAAGCGTCGTCTTGTGTCACTCTTATGAACATGATCCGCCTAGGCAACGAGAAGGTGTTGAAGGCATACAACTGTCAGAGTCTGCGTAGATCTGCCATAGAAGTGACAAAGATCACCACGGGGAAACTCCCCCATAAGAGGCAGCCCATATTTGGCACCAGAGCTCTTGATTATGTCTTCAATCTGACGAAAGATCAATTTCATTTGGCTGATTTCTTTGGTGTAAAGGCACCCGTTCGTATCACAACAATGGCATCTGCTGAGATGATAAAACAGAGGTTAATTAACTTATTTGGTGAAGATTCTCAATTCAATCTTGAGATTGCTACCCGTATGAAGGAGATTATCTTAGAAGACCTGCGATCAAACAGGTAATTCTGAAATCTCTTTCATTTGAAACATTCAGAAGTGGATATGCAGTACTGGAAAATGTCTCAAATGTAAAACTTAGTTCATATTATCATGATCATGTCAAAGTAGGTGCAATACATCTGTATACATGGTGTACATAAATCACATTCATTTCAAGGTCTTCATTTTTGCTATTTGTTGCTCAAAACTACAGTACATGTATGTATGAACAAAACACTTGTTTCCATTTTAGGAGAGTGGAGTATATGAGTAGTTTTGGACTGGCTGTCCTGTTCGATCGAGCTGGTGGCTCCCTCACCGCAGACATGCGTGACAGAATAACGGCTGTTGGGCAAAAGGAACCGCACGTCAAATACCTAATTGGAGAAATTCGTAAAATTTGGGATGAACTGGATGCACGAGAGGAAAATGAAAGAGACGATATGCTGGCATTCGATTCGTTCTACCACGGCTTTATGGCTCAGTACTTTGCCTCGTATCGCACCAAGGAGACTAAACAAGCTCTAAAGGCTTTGGATATGGATGTTGACGGGAAGGTCGACTGGAATGAATTTAAGGTTTATTTGACATGGGCTGCGAACGAATATCCCGAGACGGAAACGCCCGAAGATCTGCTAGTGATTGTATTCACGGAAGCAATAATTCCAGCAAGTAGAGATGAATACGTTTCACCTACAGACATTATAAACAGTTAGACTACATGTACTACTGAGACGAACATAATAGGAAGGTTAAGTTTTTAAGGGAACCTGTACGTGAGGGTGTATTATTCCAACCCCCGGGGATTACCGTCCCGCTCTAAATGCACTTTCCAGGGACTTAATTACAATTATTTTCCGTATTCCTTTATACCCAATCAGCCATACGAGGGGTGATCCAAAAGTCTTGGACGCCCTGCTCTATTTTTGTTGGTTTTTGATAAAATTACTTTAAACTTTCCAATAATAAAGATCAACAACCTAACTACTTTGTGTATTAATTTCATGGAGAAATGATATATTCTATATAGTTTTTCAGATAGTTTTTAATACAGGGACCCTGCCACCCGGAACGGTATTCGCACATGGCAACTTTCAGCTTTTAATGTTACCGCCATTTCACTTGTTTCGCAAGTCTTGGCCACTACATTTCTTTGAATTTTGAATGTTAAACCATGTTAGTTTACTTCCTTTGTTACTAGACAACCAATTAATTGTGTTTTAATTATAATGGCACATATGGCAATGGCCGTACATGTCCAATTCTAAGAAAATGCCATCAGACAAGCAACCCTCATTCTGGTATCATTTTTGCTGCAAGATGGCTGCTGAAATGCAGAACACGAAGGAAATCAAAGTGGAACAAAGAATACTACAAGATATTTTCACTATTATTGACCTTGAGTAGCTATCATATGCACAATATGTCAGTCTATCTATGGCTCTGTGTGACTGAAGTTGAAAGGAGGGTTGAACTGTTTTTTTTTTTTACTCATTGGATGAGGTTTAGAGTAGCACTCCAGCAGCATTTGTATCACATAAGCAATGGCGGTTTCATAAATGTCTTCCATTCATTGGTAAAGTGGTATGAAAATGTGTTCAAATTCGTGGAAAATATGTTGAAAAGTAGGTCTCAATATGTGGAGATGATGATGTCAGATGACACTCAGATTGAAAATCAAAAATTCTGTCATATCATGGCTGGTGTTAGGTTGTGCACCTGCACCTAAAGTATTTGCCATATTATAACAGTTGTGACGCAATTTGCTATATTTAAATACCGTTCCGGGTGGCAGGGACCCGGTATTAAATAATAGTTAGAAAATAAGCTAAAATATATTATTTTCTGTTGAAACTTATACACAAAGTTGTTAAGATGTTGATCTTTATAATCTGAAAGTTTCATGTAATTATATTAAAAAATAGCAAAGTTAGAGCGGGGCGTCCAAGACTTTTGGATCACCCCTCGTATAAGGACCATACTTCTACACGTCCACGTATACATTTTTTGTAAAAAGCGTATATCTTAACGTACTTCCTTATATAGATACATGATAAACGTATCTGAATGGCAGCTAAATATTTTCTGAGGAATTTTGAAATTAAATGTCGACAGAGAGCGGATCCTGGGATCAAGACGTAAAACTTTGGGGAATGTTCGAAGCATTTCTTAACACATCACTCTACATCGAACTCACTTTATCGATCTTGATTCGCATTTAAACATTACTGAGATTTGTATGAAATTATATGATATTGACAATTGAAATACATTTTGCAATTCTACATGAATACTGTGCTTTATTATTCCATTTACACCATATGTGATCCAATTCCAAAGTGAGTTGTAAATCAATCCACTCCAAACAAGACCCGTTGGAATAAAGCTTCAATAACAGCAAACACTGGAGTAGCAAATGTCGAACGAAATATTTCATTAAACTACTTCTAATTTTGAACGTTTCATCATAGAAATAATAAAGCACTTGAAAATACGTCACATCTTATAACATAAACTGCGAACTACAGGGTGTCCAATAAATAAGATGAAATATATTTTAACTTTCTTAATGTTACACCAATCTTACTGAAATTTGGGGAGGATGTAACCCAAACCTTTTTACCCTTATGCTGTAAATTTCAAGCTTTTCCAATTTAATTGGCCATAGTTATGGCTGCTATAGCAACCGAAACAACAAAGGGGAGAAGTGTCTGCAGTACAGAGACAAAGGCCTCTCACACACAACTTTGCTCACTAGTGATACTATAAGAATACTAGGACTGTAAAATACTTGACGTCGTTCACATAATCGGGAGTTTAAGCTTGCAATGTTTTTCACAACCTAAACGTGGACGGAAAATATTTAAGCGATGCATTTGTGTGAGCAATTGGTCATACGTTTAGGTTGGCGTTTCGATTTTATATGGAAACTTAAAGTCCCTATTTTGATGTGATTGACGTTTTCGGTAATCTCCAACCACGTACTGAAACTTCAAACTCAATTTTCGAAAGCCAAATATGATTGTCACGAAGTGATATTTAGGTCACATCGTTTTATGTTTACATCGTAGTTCTATCTTAACTAGCGGAATGCACGCCGTCTTACATTATTACAAATATCCAGAGTTTACCTAAAATCATCAATGCTCGAAACTGTTTATTATCTAGCCTGGCGAAAAAGGTAGATTTTTTCGGAGGATACACCAGTGTAACCTTCGAAAAAACGACCATTTTCAATCTCAACGAAACTAGATTTTATAATAGCTATAAATGTAGCGATTCGAAAAATGTAATAGAAAAGGTTTGTCAATGGCATAGTTTTTTTTCATTTGAACATTTGAAGCGCCATTGATTTCACAGCAAAAACATATTTCCCCATATTTCTTACATAAATTGATCTAGAGAGTATTGACGATTTTCAAAATCGATGACATGACAAAACCATGCTGGATTTCAAACATTATTTGAACCAAGATAAGAGAGTTCTGTTTTGACTGCCAGTCAATTAAACTAGTTCCACATATCATTTACATGACCAGGATCACAATGTACATGGTCGGAATGACCCTAAACATAATAAAATAACTTTTTCAGCCCTCTGAAAATGTGACTGAAAAATAGCTAAAAGTAGGATCTGAACATAATCTTTTGAAGTTTTCAGAAAATGTTCCCAATATATTGTTCTAAATGATGCATTCTTTGAAAGGAGGGGTATCGATATGGTGAACTTTCTGAACACACGTTTCTCTTAAACCAGTCATCAAAACATTCTGAAAATTTTACAAATCGTCAATTTAATGGTCATATTTTGGATGGTAACATTATAATTTGAAATATATATATATATACTTTTCTCTATATTGTTTTAGAAAACAAAATAGACACTTCTTTTGTTTTTGGTATCATATGTTCGGAATGAAATGAAACATCTTTCAGAACCTCATTGGAACAAAACGGCATAAACGCAACCTGTTTAGGTCTCTCAATATTGTAACTGTACAAAGGAAAGTTTGGTTTGTCTTATTTTGGGGTTTTTGTTTTAAGTTTTGCTTACTATTTGTTAAATCAACCAAAATGTCCTTTGTATAACTATAATATTGAGAGGTCTAAGAAAACGTTGTATATGCTATTTTGTTCCAACAAGGTTCAGAAAGACATTTTATTTAATTCTCAATTGGTATAAATGAACAAAAAACAATTGCACCAAAAACAAAAAATGTTAACAAAAACAGTTATATAATATATGTATAAATAATTTTTGCATTAAATTGTTGCCAATCAGTCAACATTACATAAAGGATGGTGTTTTTTACAGAATGTTTTCAATAATTGGAAAAAGTGTTGAAGTCAGTTCACCATATCGATACCTACATCTGGAACCCGTTTCTCGAAAACATCGTCAATTACGATTCGTGAATTCAATTGTCTTCTACGATTTTTCCGTTTCTCGAAACTTGACGATTATCGTCAATCTACGATTTTATCGTGGATGGAGACGATATTGACGACACCTCTAAGGGTACTCGTCAACAAGAGGGTGAGAAACACTGCACGAAACGTGTCTGGGGACAGTAATGAAATATTTACCGGGGAAACCAGATGGAAAAAACACATGAGGCGAAAGTATTCGAATTAAATTGTTCTTGTTCTTTTAATATTCAAACTTATGTTTCTATTGTGTATTATTCTGGAAGGAAATAGTATTCCGGGTATTATTGAGTGATGTTTGTTAATGTACAATTATGTAGGGTTATTTGTTAGAATGCGGTAATTTCTGCAAGAAAATTCAACAAATCAACAAAGTTTACACGAATTTGCGTATTTGAAAAATGATTAATTTATCCACCTTCCGTTCAATTTTAATATTTTTTCAATCATTTTTTACATAACGTATGGTGACTAATTTTAAAAAGCCAACAAATGACATTTAGTTTTGTGATAATAACGTCCCTTATAATATTTATTACATGTCGTGTAGACCATTGTTGCCTGATTTAAATTGACTTTTATACGTTGGTGAAACTTAGGCCTTTTTCAATAGATCTCATATCTTAGCAAGTTGAAAAAAGACCTTTCAAGACCGTCAAAAAATGGAGACCATTACAATATGTCACCATTTTTTAGTGGTGACATAAAAATCCTAGAATACCGTCCCAACAGACCCCCTTTTCTGCCCCCATCAGAATCAAACTTATTTTGCATCTAGAGTATCCTCACAAATGTACTTCACAATAATATTTCAAAATTAGGTCAAATGATGAGTCAATGAGGTCACTGGGTGCAAAAAGGTCAAGTTGGTAAAATCAATCTAATGATCAAGTAATTTCCTTAAACATACCTAAATAAAATCAAATCATGAGTTAAACCTGACTTTACATTTATTTCCATGGGGAATAGGTATCTTAATAGCCTTTGAGAAGTATTTGCACCATACTTAACACAAGGAAAATGTTTGAAAATTTTTTAGTCAAAATACATGTACTGGTATAATGTCAAAATATTGTATTGTAACATATTTGATATTAATATTCTAAAGCTTTGATACAACATATTACTTGGCTTTCAATAGCAGGGGGCAAGTGTCCGAAATCGCTGTTTGTTTTCGATAATTTGCCGTTTGTTAGAAGTCAAATATTGTTTTGGTTTGGGGGAAAAGTAAAAGTCTTCTATAGACTATCCTTTATTATCCCAATCGAACGAAGTTCTGAGGGATATAGGGAACGCCTCCATCCGTCATTCCGTCCGTACGTCCGTCCGTCTGTCCGTCCGTCCGTCCGTCCGTCCGGGCAATAACTCAAATACCGTTGGCCCGATTTTGCTCATATTTTGTACACATATACCCTATGGGGGTATAAGTTCTGCTCGAAAGCCGATTTTAAAAATGGCCGCTCATTTCAAAATGGCGGCCATTTTAGTGCCAATTTTACAGTAATTTAGGTGCAATGTGTAAAACTGTAATAGCAATATGTTTTAAATGTAAAAAAATTATAAAGGACATTAGTAAAGCTACAAATGTAGATATTAAAAAAGCACATGGCAGCCATCTTGAAAAATGGCGGCCTTTACTCGTTTTTTTACGATTTTTGCTGTAACTCGAAAAGTAGTGGAGCGATTTTGTTCATATTTGATATGTGAATACTATAAACATTGCACACTGTCTAAAGACACTTTTGGCAGAAGGCGGCCATTAAAATGGCCGCCATTTTAACGTATTTTACTATAACTCGAAAAGTAGTGGAGCGATTTTGTTCATATTTGGTATGTGTTTACTATAAGCATGGCACACTGTCTAATGACACGTTTGGTAGAAGGTGGCCATTTTGAAAAATGGCCGCCATTTTAACGTATTTTACTAAACTCGAAAAGTAGTGGAACGATTTTGTTTACATTTGGTATGTGAATACTAAAAGCATGGCACACTGACTAATGACACTTTTGGTAGAAGGTGGCCATTTTGAAAAATGGCCCCATTTTAATGTATTTTACTATAACTTGAAAAGTAGTTCAGCGATTTTGTTCATATTTGGTATGTTTCATATTTTATATGTGAATACTATAAGCATGGCACACTGTCTAATGACACTTTGGGTAGTAGGTGGCCATTTTGAAAATGGCCACCATTTTTACGTTTTTTACTATAACTTAAAAAGCAGTGAAGCGATTTTGTTCATATTTGATATGTGAATACTCATGAGCCTTGCACACTGTCTCATGACACTTTGGATAGTAGGCATTTTTACATTTTTTACTATAACTCGAAAAGTAGTGGGGCGATTTTGTTCATATTTGATATGTGAATACTCTAAGCATGGCACATTGTCTAATAATCTTTGGGGAGTAGTCGGCCATTTTGAAAAATGGCCACCATTTTTATGTGTGTTATTTTACAAGTACATGTGTGCGATTTTTATTTTATAGGTGGCTACTTAAAAGCATATTATTTCTTCTGATGACAACTTGGCTAGTGAGCAACCGTTTTGAAAATGGTGGCCTTTCTGGTGTGTTGTTTTATGATACTTGCTATATATTTCATTTGTAAAAATGCCAGCCATTTCTGTTCGATGGGATTTGCTACGCTTTGGCATTGCCGTTGTTCTGGTTTGATTCAGCGATCTTGTTTTGCACTTCCTTGTCTATGATTTTACCTCAGTTCCGTGTGTTAATCAGTTAAAGGCTCCATTTGAAGTTTAAACCACTTTGGCTTATATTGTTGTGTTATCCCATGTTATCAAAGTATGAAATGTGAAACTTTTTATTAATTTCAAAAATGTTTTTAAAGGACTTTTTGTTCAAAATATCGTGAATTTGTTTAAAACTAACTTTAAGAGCTCACACTTATCCTTTAAAGCGATAATTCACACTGATGCATAGCAATCATCCTCACTTGTTTTATTGCCGACAAAATCAAGAAAATTGGTTGATAAATAAGCGAGCAATGAACTCATCCATGCATGAAAGTGGTTCAGGGAAAGATCCATTTCAAAATTTTAATTTTCGTAGAAACCAATGGTAAAATAATATTAAAAACATAATATATTCATCCTTTTAAAGTAACTTCCAATGATTTCATCTAAAAATTAAAACCCTTGGAAATACTAAATATGGTTTAAGTGCCATATATAAAATTTATTTCAGAAATATTGTGGATCAAAATGAAAAACAAAACAAAAATAAAGAATAAAAACATATTCCACCCATGGGATTGAGTTGAGTCAAGAGCTCCAACCTCTACACCACAGTGCCAAAGCTTTCTGAGGGAAGAAATTCTTTATCTATATAATCATGGACGAAAAAAATCTTATTTACATGCTTAAATTTCTTAAAACTGATCAGCATTACTACTAATAACAACATTTTGCATGTCTGAGTAAGTATTATGATCTACATTTAGGATAAATGTTGTTTTATTCAGTTTTCATGATATATATCCTTTGATCAGTTGTTGAGCACATGAACTCATCCTTCTAGAAAGGTAAGAGCATTTTCTTGAGACATATGGCTCGAAATCTCAAATTTCTCCTTCTAAGTCTTAGAAAGACACTTAAACCTGGTTAAGCAGTCAACATTGGTTTATTTTTTAAGTTTAGCATATTTAGAAAAGATTGACATTGAAAAATGTTGCAACTAAGTGATGTCACGATGTGGTCACTTAGGTTGAAAATATTTTCGATATGCTAAATCATTGAATTGGCACATTAGATATAACGTTGTCCGTTGTTCAATCTTTATATTGGTGTTAAAAAGATATAGAGGTTCTTATATGAGTACCTGTGCAAGATCGTCCATCCTTGATGAGCTTTGATAACTCTTCTTTATCGAGTCGCAGACCGTGTAGGTCGAAGGTGCAGGTCGAAGGTCGAAGGGTTTTTATAACATTCCGATAAAAGTGTATGTGTGGATGGGGGAGGTTTGACCCCCACTTACCAAAAGCTGTAACAGTATACTAGTATAACAGTGTCAAGATATAGGGAGAGAAAATATTCTAGCATAGTAAGAGCATTCAATATACAGTTAGTTTAAAAATATGTATCTTAGATTTTACGTCTTTGTACCAGCGACACACTTTCACAGGTGCGTCTTTACAATGAAACACAATAACGAAAATTGCAACTTTTTTTTTCTTTGTTAGGATCTTGAGAAAAGTTGCAATATCCTTCCTGGTTAGAATAGGTTTCCACGTACAACTAAAAACACTACTTTATATAAATAACTATCTATACACCATCAATGCAAATATATGCTTTCTGATACTCATAGCATCTTTCTGTTTCACCTGAAACACAGGGCTGAGAAGAAATGAGATGTCATGGTTTATCATGATGGCTTTCTTCGAGAATTCATAATGCGGGCCCGGGAATGACATTCATTGCAACACACCTTGCAACAATGTCTTATGAGGGTAATTTCTTATATTGAGAAGTTTATCATCTATTGAAATTAAATACTTGTAGCTACAAAAAGCGAATTTGTTTGAGCAGTCCTAGCTCGACATATTATATAAAGAAAACAATATTTACAACATGGTATTCTTAGCTTAGTAAACTGTTCAATTAAAGATCATCAAAAAAGGACCGTCGCTTCAAAAAAAGTATTCCATGCAAATGAAGGTGAGAATTCACGTTAACAAATTAAGATAAGATCCACAATATGCTATGAAATGGTTAAATGCGCAAAATATGTAGATGATACGACGTCAGATACTGTACATCACGGCATTTTACTGCATTTTATAATACGCACATACTATAAAAACGTGATATCTTAAAAACAGCAGCATACCTTTTCACCATTTTTTGTCAATAGTTGTGAATATATGTCCATCTAATATTTAGCCTATCAAAATACAAAATAAACAATATTGAAAGCACTATCACGAGGACTGCGCATACCTTATAATGAGATTTTATACTGTAAAACAGGGTGTCGACTGTAACATTTTGAATAAAAATGATCCAAATTTTAAAAGTAAAATGAATATAACTTTTTTAATCCTTGACAGATCATCTTCAAATTTTCACAAAATGTCAATTAGCCAATTTGGCAAAGAAAATTTTAGAAAATTATCTGAAACAAAAATGGCGGTGATAAAAAGGAAAATATATTGCTTTTCGATTCAGCTTTTTTTTCATTTTTTCTTTATTTAAAAGAGAAGTATATTTTGATTCATTACATTCGGTCATTTAGGCCCTAGCTACTTAACCTCCTTCATGATCGACTATACCGTCCTCTATGAGCAACTATCAGTTCCAATAGATTATCACCCCTGGCTCTACACGAACTTTTAATCTTTAACTAGGTTTCTCAAAATTGTTTTGTTTTTCGTCATGATAGACCAAAGTCCGTACTTCAGAATTTGCAATTTCACACTCTTTCTGTCATAAGACACGGACGTATACTAAACATGCAAACTTATATCGAAACAGGCTCGGATGGCAGGAACACGGTTTGTACATTTCACTCATTTTCTACTTCTCTTTATACAGGAAAAATATATTTGAATAATAAGTTTTGGTTAGGATTTTGGGAATGATCGGTAAGTTTATCAATCGCAATATATTATTCTTGAGATGGACATTGCACCAATTATCAAACACGGATGATATGTTTACTAAATAATTTATCTTATAATTAAAGTATAAGGTGAATGGGTGTTAATCTACTTTAAATACTCAATCCATTCTACCATATTTGGTATTGTTTTGACACTATCTTTGGTCTTTAGAACTGTTTAAGGAAGTTACCTTTGTACATTGGATTTATCAAATCTCAATTTATAAGAAATCAAATTGAACAAAAAACACTTTGAATTATAAAAGAACACGCATAATAAATTGATACATGTTGATTCCGGATGACAATGTACTCGAGTCAGATGACTTCAAAAATGAAATGCTGATTTTGAGCTTCTCTTCATTTTATAACAATATAAGTGATTGAAGGTTTTGACAGCCACTTAACTCAATGAGTTGAGAACAAAAACACTCACTTGAATTTTACAGTCATTTCTAAAAAAAGAAACAAGTAGAAGCAATAATATTGTAAAAATGGTTAACAATATATTATACAATACGTTCATCTGTAGGTGTAGATAGCTATATGGCAAGAGAGGCGCGCAATGCCCTCAACAAACTTTAACAGAAAATATTTTTTCCAACTTCAACGTCAATTGAAAATGTAGAAGTAATGTCCAAGAGTAACTAGGAACACATTGTGGGATGCAGAGCCTGTACTATCAATTGGAATACACTCTTTCAAGTACAGGGTGGTCAAAAATGGAAACCCTTACACCATTTACCTCATGTCTTTGTCATTTTTATAAATACCTCCCTGATATTTCACACATTTGTACATCATTCAATTTCCTACCAGCCTACTATATTTCATGATCATCAGATTGATAGTCAGATATAAGGAAAATGTAGGGTTTCTATTTTTTGACTACTCTGTATTAGATAAACAGGGACAGATAAAGGTTAGGTTTTACCTCGCCTATTGAAATTTGGCTCTCCTACGTTTGAATCTGTCTGGACTACACCCCACATTATAAATACGTTATGCATCAAAATTCTAGAGCAGTGGACCAAAGAAAAGATCACCGTGATTTCTTTTCTCGTCCAAATTAAAGAAAAATTCTAAAAATCCATCACAGAATTCTTGAAAGCTAATAGCTCCATCTTTATTAATGTCTAACGAGTCGAACGCTTCTTTTGACCATTTCTGATCTATTCCTAAACATTTGAAGAAAGCTTCATGCTCAGCTTGTGAGATTACGCCGTCTCCGTCCAAGTCTATTGCCTTGAAGTAAATCTGAGCGAAGCGACGGTACAGCGTATTTGTGTCCAGGCGATGACTTGTTGAAGGCCCCAATGCACACTTTGTCATCCATTCATCCAGGGTTAGGGATTTCTTCGAACCTCCTGCAAATGGAATAAAAACTTCCTTTATATTTCACGCTTTTCATTTTGACCAATTCAATGAAATGGCATGGCAATAATAAACACTAACATTCACTTAAAACATACATATAATACCACGAGAGGTATCATTGTGATAATCCCCGGGTGATAATCTTTTGAGGTTCTCTACATAGCTTTTTATATCACCATCACAAGTGACATATTCTTATGGTTTGTTAAACTTTTTGTGGACGGTGTTCGGCGGTTGGTGCTCAGCGGTTGTTCGACGTTAAGCGGTCGATGGTCGGAGTCTGTAACAAAAGGCAGGTTGTAACATTTTGCATGTCAATGCCTTGTATTATTTTGGAATTGGATACCAGGCCTTAGGTGCTTTTGTAAAGTGCTTGTAAAGTTGAAATACGTGACGTACCTTTATACACTAGCCACATTTTCATTAATGATGAAGTAATTGCGTTCTTTCTCTCATGACAACAAATCTCAGAGAACCGTTGAATCACCATGTTCCATTCATCCAGAGTAACTTCCCCATCACCATCCGCGTCCAGGCGACTGAAGTACGTCTTCATTTTCCTCTGCCAGTAGCTGCTCGCCAGGTAGTCCTCTTTCTTGTGTTTATGCGCTTCAACTTGGTCATATATCAGCGGTCCAAAGAAGCACTTTCCTTTGGAGTTTTCATCTAAATTGACAAAGAAATCTTTGAGACTATGACGGAATTCATTAAAGCTGATACTACCGTCTTCGTTGGTATCAATGAGCTTAAACGCAATGGGAGTAAAGTTGGGGTTGATTTGGAAGCAATCAAAAAAGTTTTCAAATTCTTCCATTGATATCTCTTGGTCGTTGTTCGTATCAAGTGTTTGGAAGAACACCCTCGAGAAGTCGGTTATTAATTGAGACATGCCATTGTTCTTACGTTGAAGTGGTATCTCCACAGCGCAAAGGAGCCAGTCGTGTAATGACATACTTTCCTTTGTACTTCCCATAAACTCTTTCCACATCCTCATTAAAGTCTCTTTCACCCGATCTTCACTTTTCTTATCATTTTGCTTTGCTTGGAATCGCTTAATCAATTCCATCCATTCTTCAATTGTAATTGTACCGTCATTGTCAATGTCCAAACGCCGAAAATATGTCACCATCTTACGAAACCAAAACGGAGACGTTAGATACGTCTCTGCTTGGTTCTTTGCTACGCTCATATCTACTGTCTTGCTGTAGTTTGAATACATTTTTATTTCTTGATAAAATACCTCTGATCGCTGTCAAAAAGTCGGTGTTTGTTATTAAAAGCGGCTAACAACCGTACAAAGAGCGACCATTGTACTCGGGCTATACTAAATTCACACAGAGCCCCGATCAATGAATGTGCAGTAATAGGCAGCCTGGTTAATCCCTTTTCCAACGAGGTGCGACTTTATGTTTAAAGTGCACTTCTGACTGGAAACAGTTACATCATGAAAAATTGATTTTCCAGCCTTATAATTTGTTATGTTATTTACTAAAACGCAGATCGATTGCGTCTATACTTTTTTTTATAAAACGAAATTGGAGACCAAATATGATTTAATAACAATTCTTTTTATCAAGCGGCTGAGTAATTCACTTATATCACTGGCAACAAACGTTTATCCCAGCTGTAATCGTATTGAATGGATTCAATGTATATGTATTAATAATTTAGTATTATTTGGATCGGATTACCCGCAGATCAAAACTAATGAAAACAAATTTCACTCCTGCTATTCATTAGAGTTTCATTCATGGATTGTACCTTTTAAAATAATGTTTTCAAGTGGGAATTATCCCTATTCTGTTGAAGTCAGTTTTCTAAGTTTTTTTAAACTGTTTTTAGAGTGGTGCAAAAATGTCTCTGATGAAAAAGGTACTTTGTGTGGGTACAAATACCGTGGCGGTGCTTATAGGTAAGAACCATATCCACTTCTGAACTTCCCGTTATTTGTAGTACGTACTAGGAATCCCAAGATACATTACATTCAAGTATCGATATTGTACTGTAAATACTTATGACAATAGTTAGGCATATTGTTGCATTATGAGTTTTTAATGATTCAATTATGAAAATGCAGAAACTAGTATGTGTACAAGAAAGTCTTTTAAGTTTAGCTCTTTGTTAAGTTTTGCCTGGCCACGTATGTGACTAAATCAATTTTACCTGTCACTATACTGAAAAGGAGGATTGGCTCCCAGGATCGCAACTCAATATTTCCAACAATAAAAACACCAGAATGTCGTTATTTTCTGAAATTATAACCGACTATAAATTCAAATTGAACAGTCCACAAGATTCGAACAAATTTCTTGATCATTTCTTGTGAGCTTTGGAATTTTTTGTTTTGAAGTAAGGCCAAAATTCACGATTCAAATGTTGAAGTGAACAAAATGGCGGCTTTTTGAATTCGACTTTTGAAATCACACATCATCTCCATACATTTGTATATGGCAAGAATATCGATGTTGCATTCTTGGAGCCAATCCTCCCTAATGTCCCTTGCTACACTGATATTGATTTATTTCAGTGTCACTATGGCTTCCTATTGTCTCGTATGGGATGCGTCTTCTGTCCCCTGTTAGAAGAGGTTTCTGGTGTGACGATGAGACCATACGCTACCCGTTCAGTCGCCATGGTACAGTTAGTACAGGGATGTTGTTTGGGTGCGGTATAGGGATTCCCATAGGCTTTGTAAGTTATCGTATGACATGATTGATTGAACAGCTCATTAACATCTGATTTCGATTCAATTAGCTAATGGAACTGTGGCACCATATTGGCATGTTTATGCCCAATGTTAAAGTAGTATAAATTGACTTGATTCGATTCCTTTCTCAAAAATACCAATATCATGATTATGTATGTTCATAATTTCAGATACTGCTGAATGAAATGATACGATATGCTTTCCGCAGACCATACCCTTGTGGGACACCTTGTATGAAACTGCAAATCACTACAACAGGAAGAGTTATAGGTCAATAGATTTTGTAAAATGGTCTCTCCATTTACATTTCCTTCAAATTGGACTAAATAACTTCAGGATCACTCTGAGAAAATGTAACGCTTATGTATAGATAAAAACTTTTTTTGATATTTCTGGAGTAAGTAGTGTGTTTAATGGCAAAACAATTATCAAAATTTGCAAGCCTTTTCATTCATTTGATTAATTGGAATCATTTTAATGAAGTCACCTTGTAATAAAGCCTACCTAGATAATCTAATTATGAATATTTAATATGTTGGCTTATCTCTAGGTATCTTCATGTTTGGCTCTTTGTTGACGTTAACAATAACTGACATAATGAAAATGTCAAGTGGTCGACTGCGCCCTTGTTTTTTGTACATGTGCCGCCCTAATGTTAACTTGGCTAACTGCACTGGGTTCATAACAGACTACGAATGTGAGAATAAATCTCCATGGGTAGCTGAAATGAGGTAAGTATGAGATCGTATGGTCAATTTCATTGCATGGTGGATCTGCCGGGATACATATTTATATGAACATTATGGAAATGTCTCTAATGTTAACCATATATAATTTTGTTTAAATGCTTTGACCTTGTAATAAATGTTTTATTTGGATTTATTTACACTATTGGATTTGTAATCAATGTTTTTTATTTGGTTTTATTTTCTGTTTATGTTTTTTTAGAAAATCATTTCCTTCTGGGCACGCCTCATTTGCAATGTACAGTATGATGTTTTTAGTGGTAAGTAGTATATCCGGCATGTCATTGCAATCAAAGTATGATATGTAAAACTATTTTTTGAATAATTTATACTTTAAATTAAAAAAAACATCATACAGTTATTTGTTTAGCAACACCATATTGACATACATAGATCATACGACATAAAACATGTATTTGTGGAAAAAATATAACTGTCTAAAATAAGTTGCCTTGTCAAAATATGACTGTCTAAAATAACTTGCCTTGTCATACGTGGCCCATTCATGTTTTTCAAAATTTTACGCACAACATGGAAAAACTTAAATCAATTATTAATTTCAGCTTTATATTGAAAAACGCATACCATTCTCAGTAGGCTACTTATCCAAGATAATACTTCAATCAGTCTGTTTAATACTGGCTGTGTTCACCGGTTTATCAAGGACAGTGGACCATATGCATCACTGGGAGGATGTTGTAGTTGGACTCTTACTTGGAGCCGTCATTGTCTTTGCTCTTGTAAGTAATTTAACAATGTTAAAATGCATAGAAGAAACCATGTAAATTGTTTTGCATTAAACCCTTATTAATATTTACCCCTACCACTATCATACACCTCATATACATCATGTGCGCAAGAAAGAAGGATTTTATGCAAGGATAGATAAGGAGGGGGGGGGGGGGCGTTTTAACTATAGCAGTAAAAGAACCAAGCACACGATGGTTGCCATTTTAGTTAATATTAGGGTGAGATAATTTCAATAAATATGCATTGAATTTATAAAAAACATCTAACCTGATATTATAAGTCTAATAAAAAGAAACATCTACTCGACTCAATATTATTTTCATATCGCATGTCACCTCAAAGTTTTAATTCCTTCCGATTTCAGAAACAAACCATTCCTAGATTATTTGACTTCAACAATGACAATAAGGACGCGCTATACAGTCCAATGGACAATGTGAATCCTGATATCGGACTAAACGTTGGAAAATCCTCGTCACAAGAACCAACAAATATACAAGGCAGTAGAATGTCTAACTACAGACAACGTTCAGTCTAATCATCGCAACGATTCTAATGAAAAATTATTTTCTTATTTATTTCTACTGTTAAGGTAGCCATTTTGGATTTTTCGTCTAAGATTCTTGTCCATAAAGTCTTGCTTATGTATTTCCAGGCGAACTGTTTGACGGATCGATTTCAATTTTTCAAGGATGATTGTTTGTATGAAAATCTCAAATTGAATAGTTTTAAGACATTCTGGTTAATGTTAAGGTGGCCATTTTGGATTTTTGTCCTAAAATCCTGTCGTTTTAACGGATTATATATAGTATTGGCCATTCATAATAAAAATATGTATAGGATCACCCATTGGTGTGGATAAGTTATACACGTTGGTGTCATTGAATGTTTGATGTTCATGGATATGCATCAAAGACCATAGAATGGTACCCTTGACAAGACCTCAATATAATCTACATTCCTTATCAATCATCTTTTTAGATTAAGTTCACTTCCAATCAGGTATTTTGTAACTCCATAGCAACGTACAATTTGTTACTTCTATTTATTTATTGGATAGGGCATAATAGCGAAGTTAAAATAGCAATTATACACTTAGTATGACTTGGTAATCACTTATTGTTGATAAACTGAGACACTACACGTAGTCTAAAAACACCAAGAGAAGAAAGAAAGTCCCCCATAAACTATACCAACCAAATCTGCTAAACTGATTTTTATGTGCTATATACACTACTAGTGGAAGAGTACTCTTCATGGAAAGTAAATGAGTAATAGCTAAATCTTGAGCTATATACAATATTACATTTACAAATCATGTTTTCAAAGTCGATTGTACAACTTACAACCCATGTTTTCAAATTGCAACTCATGTAAACAAATCCATTAATTGGCAACTCCTGTTAAAGTCTATCACTCAATTGGTAACACATCATTCATAACACAATGGACAAACCATGTTGATACGTCTATTGTCCAATTTACAACCAATGTTTTAACCAAATTGGCAACCCATGTTTTTAAGTCCCTGCCCATTTTCACAAGCGCATTTGCCAATTAACAATGCCGTTACTATTGTAAAACCAATGTAAAACTGATTGTCGCTGCAATGATTTTAAAAGTCAAGCGCATCTGTAACATTTAACGGGAATTAAACGTTAATAAAATAATGTTCACGGCTTGACAGTCCATAATAGTATTACTAAACATAAAATTTGTGTAGATGACACAACTTCTAAGTTTATTTTATCTTCCTTTTAATTGGTATAAGATACATTTTGCATAATTGTTATTTCATCTCGAGCACTGTTATGTGTTATATGTATCTCAAAATTGTTCTTTAATCAAGCTTAAATAGTTCTTCCTTTTTAAACTGCGGTTGTCTGACCACTCATCTGCGTCATTCTTAATGAAGCTTGTGTGATATTTTTAAAAGCTGAAAGCTATTCTGTTATTTAAAAGTCATACATCAGTATATATACAGTTCTTGGAGTTCTTGGAATAAGGGCGGATCTCAATTTAAATAGGTTGATCTGATTGGATAGAGATTTTTAGGGACAGTTTAATTTATGGGGCACTACCCTTGCCTCTCCTGCAAACACGTGTCTGCATTGGCAAACAAAGGAATGTGTACAGTGATCACTTTAATTGCTGCAGTGAGGGGGGGGGGGTGAATATAATATATTCCTGTGGTCAGAAATAAATGTTTCTCCAGGAACTGTCGATACACATCAGATCAAAGTTAGTTACAACATCTAATTACATTTACATGGTTAATAAACAATGCATATTCAAGCATTTAAAAATACATATTTAGTTGCACTAAACTACATCCATCATAAAATATTCTTTGTCTGTGGGTGGGATGATTTCCCCAAGGAGAGAATTCTCACAGATGTACATGTGCACCTTGGGACAATAGCAGTATATTTGTCTTCCAATAAACAAAGGCTTTATAATTAAATATTTCGGAGTGGCATCCGAACTGATAAAATTGATAGTGAACAAAATATGAAATGTCAGCCTCGTTTGATTTGTGGCAATTAATAAATTCGAGTGAAAGAGTAAATCTGAACAACATGCTACTGAGCGTGTGAATTTGATATTCAGCTCTGTTTTACAAACATTAGAATCTTTATGACAAAGGGCTATAATGGTCAGAGCATTGAATTCAGATCAAAAGAGATACCGAGCACAAACATTTAGGACTCATTTTTGACCCATGTTTATCTTATGATAAGCATATTGGTGATTTACTAGTCAAAATAAGAAAAATGTTAAACCCATTAAAGAAACTCAAATTCAAGCTTGGGAGCAAGCACCTAGAAACAATCTTCAACTCATTCATTCTTCCTCACTTTGATTATGGTGCCATTTTATATGGCACAGCTTCTAAATTTCTTTTGCGAAGACTCGATAGTCTATATTACACAGCGGCACTCTATTGTTCTGGCTGCATCCAAGGGAGCAGTACAGAAAAGGTCCTAAGTCTCCTAAACTGGCCAACACTTGAATCTAGACGTCGAATACAATCAAATAATTTTATGTTCAAAGTTGCCAATGGTACAAGTCCCTCATATATCACAGACATTTTTGATAAGTATAGTAATGTTAGGAATAGAAACTTGAGATACATTGATCCATTCAAAATGCCCATAAGATGCTCTGCTAGATTCTCATCCTCAGCAATACCTTCTGCAATCTCAAAATGGCTAGAGCTCCCCCCTTCTATTAAAACCAAGAAAACTCTTCATAATTTCAAAAAACACCAACGGCTTTTCCTCCAAAACCCCTCTAAAATTCTGACCACAAGTCAACTCAATCTTTCTAGACGGCATGAGATAGTGGTGAATAAAGTAAGAGCTGACTTATTTTTTAAAGCTCAATTTTATGCCCATAATTTTAACTCTGTTGACAGCCCTAATTGTGCTTGTGGCAGCTCTCAAACCTTAAAGCATATTCTTTTCCAGTGCAATCGCTTAACCTTAGTAAGACAGGATCTCTGGGATAAACTTGCTGAATTAGAACCTTCTCTCAATAATACAGGGTGTTCCAAAAGTAACAGGACTGGTGCTGGCATTTTGTTGAATATGCACCAATCGTCTTCAAAATTTGAAACTGGGGTAGAGTTATGGCTGTTATGGTAACATGACATCACAATACCCGGGGCAACATTCCATGCAGAAGGTTACAGAGACGGTAAGCATTTTGTACATCCCATATCAAAGTTAGAATCCAACAACTGGTGGGAATTACATTTGCTAAATACATCATTTGATATTCCTATGCATCTTCTACTTTGAAAAGTAGGGTCCTCGTTGGTCAGTCCAAGAGTACCACGTACTCTATATGTGTGACTCAAACACATAAGTGAACCCATTTGATGACATGTCACGCAGGAGAAGGTCATTCTCATCTTTAAAGGTCTCACCGCGCTGATTAGCATTCCATTCTCCATATAAAAGTAAAAATGAGTTATTGCATGATCAGAAGCGTATAGTGCATGGTCTTAGACCTCAAGACCTACACTGTAGCTCCGCTGCTATAGCTGCAGTGGTCTTTAATGCTGACTTGCGGGCAGGCACCTTTTCATAGTGGATGACTGGTTTCAAATTGGGTCTTTTCAAAAACTCAACAGTGAATTGCGCAAACTGTTATACAAAATGTTATTTCAGGAAATTGAATAAATATTATTATTATGAAATCATACTTGAATCTGAGTTGTATAGCAACACCATAACTACAAAGCAACTAATAAAACAAACAAGAAATGTTGTATTGTAATAGGTGAATTAGATACTTTCTTTAGTAATATAAAAATGTTATATATTACATTTTCATGCCCCGGGTATTGTGATGTCACGTTACTATAGTAACCATAACTTAACCCGCATTTTATCATTTTTTCTGAAACTTTAAAACTTTAGTTGCACTACGTCAAAGTACAATTTGCGAAAATTTGAACACACTCAGTGCAGAATTGACAAAATGCCAGCACCAGTCCTGTTACTTTTGGAACACCCTGTAATCTTCCCCAGTACGATTTTATCTCCATTTTGAAAACAGGGAGCCCAAACTTAAGCATAGATGTAAACTCTAAAGCCATTTCACTGATACTTGACTTCATTATAGACAATAGCTAATTCCCTCCCTCATGTCTCTCTTTCTGATATCCTGTTGTCCTGTCACACCTGCTCCGGTCCGGGACCCTGTCTGCCTGCCACCCCCACATTCTCACCATTCCTATATAATGCCCTCTGGCGATTTAGGGATGCTATTGTAATTGTATTTTAAACTATATCAATGAAATAAATAAATAATAATAAAAAAAAATTCAGATCTGCATGCAATGATTTATGAACTGGGAATTTCAAATTTTTTTTATGAAACCAACATTTGTATTTGACTCCACTAAAATAGTGAAGATTTAATTATGACCAAGTCCAAACATTTTTGACTTCCCTAAAATATAAATATAAAACAGAAATAGTGCATTTCTGTTACACATCAACCTTTCATTCATCTCAAGGAGAGATTATCAACTGAAAACTTGCACTACTTTTGAATACATCAGTATTCTCATAAACTTGTGCAACCAGCTGCCCTCCTGAAACTCTCAAGTAGTCTCCAGTAGAGGAGTATAATGTTATAAATCCTGGCCAAAATTCATCTTCAACAAATGTAAATGTTGATTCTTCTGAAAAATTGACGTTAGAAGCATGATCCTCCTCGTTCTGTAGTGAGACAGTCTGAGCAGCTACATGTATCACGTTCCCTCCCTTGTCGTCAGAAATGAGCGAGACCGAGTTGTTTTGCCGTGTGTTTCCAGGGGTCTGAAAATAGAACGCTTCCGAGGTGACGGTTTGATTAGAGAGCCAGAGTTGGTTTGTATTCAGAACCCCAATGTAGCTCGAGTTATCACTTTTGGGCTGGAGAAAGTAAGGACCATCCAATGAGTCCAACGAGGGTCCTATAATACAGAAATTACATTAGCATTTTTGTACTGTTTTTCTTTGAATGTATATTTAGGTTTGATTGACTAAAAAAGTGATCTTGAATAAGAGGCTGGTATTTTTTGTGAATAGGCAACGTTTTAATAAAACAAAATGGAAAATGGATGGCTTACCTTGTTGCGACTCACATATAAACTGACAAGTATATCCACAGGAGACGTCATGCCATGTCTGATCAGGTGGATAAAATGTAACACATTGCTCACCCGCAGAACCGGGTTGACCAGCCGCCCAACTGAAACAAATAACATTCATGCTACATGACTATGGTGTTTAAACTGCTTCTTTATTCGGTACATTAATATTCAATAAATACCAAATAAAACAAACAATTTACCAAACCTTTACCCAATCTATCGAATGTTTTTTTATTTTATCAAATGTAATAATCTATACAATTTATATTCGCTAAATAGTTTCACTTGTTCTTTGTATTGACATTCACATTTGATATGTATACATGTATTTGTGTGATGCAGCGAATCAATTTGTTTTCCTTAACGCACGTATAATTCAATTAATTATTTGTACATTCGGTATTTAAATTATTTATATTCGGTAAATACCGAATGCCACATTCGATAAATTTCGTTATTTTTCGATAATTTACGAGACTTTCAGTCACGTGATATATTTGTACGATGTAGAATAGCTGCGCGGCCATTTTGCAAATCTCGAAGTCACGTGACAAAATATCGAACCACAACGCAAGTTATCGAATATTACTTTATTGCATTCGGTAAATAGCAAATTAGCTTTCGGTAAATAGCAAAACAGTTTTCGGTAAAATGCATTAACTATGTCATAGAAAAATAAACCATTTGGTAAATATAGGCAAACTTATTTCGGTAGGATTCAAATAAAAATTCAATATTGTGCATATAATGTGTTACTCTTAAGGAATACCATAACAATTTACGCAAAAAATCATTTAACGAATGAAATATGTAATTTAATGCACATAGTATTAAGTGATTGGCTATTTTGAAAACTTAATTTGCTGTAACAAACATATAAACGTTTTTACCGAATGGAAAAATGATTTAGCGAATATGAATGTTTCATATATCGAATATATTTGAATTTAATGAATAAAGAAGCAAAAATAATGCCATACATGACAAACTGCCTTTTCATGGGCTTTTTGATACTTTGGCCATGGTTTATGGAGAGGGTTTTGAATGTCTACTTGATTTTTCTCAAGGTTCTCAGTTATGTTATCAAAGTCGAAGAGTTGCTTTACTGCGATATGTTCTGAGAAACAGAACGGATGTTGTATCTACCTACAGTTACGATACCCCAAAATAACTACCTTGTAAATCCAAGAGGAGTGCCATCGTTCCAAGTTTCATAAATGTTTACAGATGGGTTATTTTGTTTCAAACCTACAAAAAAGAAATGTAACTAGCCTAAATATGGACATAACCAATAGGACAAACGGAGACAAATAATATATATATACTTTTCAAAGTGCACCAAATGTTTACCCGCAATCAGAATGTCAATTACGAAAATGGCTATTAATTTAGGAAGAGAAATGGTCATGTGAATGCGGCTATAGCCCACTATATTACTGCTAAGCAGGTCAGAAAAAGTCAACTTCATAGGTCGTCGTGGCTCGTCTTTACCACTACCATTCGATATTGGAGCGACCACCACCAAAAGCTAGGGTGTTATTGGAAGTTGTAAAACGTTGTTACAGACGCCGAACGCCGATCACCATACACCGTCCACAAAGAGACGAATTCTATAACAATTTGTCACAATTTTTTAATCAGTATAGACTTCCATGTTAAAAAATATGAAATGTGAACATCTGTCGATCCGAACACACACAAAGATGCCCCTCTGAGTGGCATTCTAATAAGTCAGGTTTTACTGTACCAGCAGTGTAGCCAGGATCAAAAATTTGCGAAGCAAATTCAGGCTATAGAAAATAAACTACAGGCATAAGTATTGAATGAAAGGAAGTAATGCGCTTGCAATTGTGATTTCCCCTTGAAAAAATTAATTCATCTGATTTTTCAAAATTAGTATACTGCTTTTATTATTACATTTATATGCCACTAGTATCTTTAATCAATTGTTGACCTATATTCAGCACTGTATTGATGTATTGGCCACTCATTAGGCTCATGATTCAATCATGAAGTGTAGAGGTGTAGATTCCAAACCCGGAAGTATTTTTGTGTCTATCAAAAGCCATTAGCATCCTACGCATCCCTACATCTTATCCAAATATGATACCAAATAATGAAATATAATATTATAATCTTTGGTTTTGCAAGGTTTTATGATATTTGATGAGCGTAAGATATGTTTTTGGAGCATTTTTCTATAGCCATTTGTAGGGAAAATTATAAAAAAATGTACAATCTTTTAATTTAAAGTATGACCTGAATCGATTGCAAACTTCATATTTGCACATTTGATGAGAATGAGTTGAACCATTTGTGTCATATTGTGAAATTATGAAGTTTGCAATCGATTCAGGTTATAGTGTATTTTTTGGTATTTCTGTGATAATCAATGGAATCCAATGGCCTCTATTGGGATCTGCTGATATCCTCATGTTAAGTCAATGGTGCACAGCCCCATGTAAGTCAATGCACTTTAATATTTTCCAAAGTATTATATGACATTCTATTCTTCATGCTACACTTAAAAATGATTCATTTTGACCATAGGGATATTTGCCAATAATCGCACCTCTTCCTTTAACGCAAGTACAGAGTAATTATTAACAGAATATTAACACTAGGGCGTACTGAAGATTTGGAATGAGTGGGGGCATTTAATACATGTACATGTATATCTTTGCATGCACTTCTATTACCAAATATTATCCCATGACAAGTAAGGTTTCAGGTACATAACAGTGGGATATAGAAGTGACATCTTAGGAGGACCGCCCCTCGGTAAGATAACTTCATTTCCCTCAGGATATACAATGTACCCCATATCCAAAAACCTCCCATAACATAACTCTCATCTATTTATCTTACCCATGTATGTCATATCAGCTGTACCATCAATAATGGTGTTCAAAAAGTTACTCTCTAACTCATCGTTAACGGAAACCAGATAGCCATTAGATGCCTGACAATACATTGAAGCATCATCATAATTCTTCATTGGCGATTCGACAAACTCATAGCAGTGCCCATTGTAAGTATGTTTGCTGCTGCCACATGCTGAAAATTTAAATGTTCAATTTATCCTTAAAATCTATAGATCTTAACACTAATAATACACGTTTCATTTGTATTTCCACTAAAATAAAACGACAATATTAAAGAAAATTCCTTTTATCCCTACGGAGGAAGTTCGGTAGGGATATAGTGAAGCCCTTCATCCGTCCGTCAGTCCGTCTGTCGGTCCGTTCGTCCGGAAGATAACTCGAATACTAGTGGATGGATCTGCAAGATTGGTGGAAAGATGTATATTGGCGAATACTTTTACGCAAAATGTTATTTCAAGATGGCCGCCGCTTTAGAAATGGCGAGAATATTTGGTCAAAATCTTTAGTTTTTCATTTTAAACCAAAGAAATGAATATTATTGATTGAAATTTTGATGGTTTATTCACAACATATATCTATGTAATATATATTCCTAGTTTTTCAGCCTAACCCCCAGGGGCTTTGTATAGGGGTCGGGAAAAACAGGAATTTGCGTTTATTTTGAGATCTTTCTACACTCTTAAAAATGAATTACTTGTATTTCCCAAGTATTTCCCAAGTATAAAAATTACTTAAAGTGAAGTACTTAGTTTTACTTCATTTTACTTAGGTTTAACTTATATTGTCATTTTGAGTTTTTAATTGCTTAATTATGTAAATGAGTATTACAATTACTACAGTAAGTATTTCAATTTCTCTCCTTGCATTAGTAAATTCACCATAAATGAATTACTTAAAAATTACTTAAAAATTATTCAGTAGTTCAAGATTATTTAAGTAATTTTTGACTTAAAATGAGTAGTACAATTTCTCAATATAAGGAAATCCAAGTAATAATTTTAAGAGTGTAAAGTATAGCATATTATAATCAAATGAAAGCCAATTTAGAGTAGATTGTAAATGTTATATCGGTTTTCTAATCTGGGACTCGTAAAATTCAAAATGGCCGCCTTATGTTGGAATTTCGCAATAATTTTCTGATTCTTTCAAAGTATGGCTTTATTATACTCAAATTGAATGAAAAGGGTAGATCACAAATATGGTCTTCTTTTTCTGATTTGTGCCTCAGAAAATTCAAATTGGCTGCCAACAGGAATTTGCGTCAATATTGAGATCTTTCTGAAGCAAAGCTTTAATATACTCAAATGAAAGGTAATTTAGAATAGAATGGATACTTATGTAGTATCATTTTTTTGAGCCTCGTACAATTCAAAATGGCCAACTTATGTGGGACAATCTTTAGAGTTAGTTAGACAAAAGTTAGACAATTCAATGATCTGTATAAAAATATTTTCTGCAGAATATTTTACTGAATAGATATACTGATTTTTGATTTGCCCCGAACCTACCATTTCCCATTGGTTTACATGGGAATGACGATTCTCAAAAAATCACCAAAGTTACCATCAATTTTCAGAAAATATTCAATTATGTTCTGATCTCTGGGAAGCCCATAAATCCATTAACTCATACCGCTTTCTTGTTCGATTCCAATAATAACTCATTGATTGCGATATAAGCACATGAAGAAACACACAGCCGTTACGTATTTCGAATTTTCATTATCACAATTTTAATGACATTGAATTTAAAGGGAAAATTAAATTGAATACGTGAAACAAGTATGGTGTGCTTCCATTTCAGTAAAAAGAATTAAAAACCGGAATTACATTTTGCGTCACAGAATAGTTTTCTTTTGTTGACTTCTCTTGAGCACGTCGTCTGAAAAATAGTTAAAAAATATTTTATCGATATGACTATTTTAAAAGATATGAGACCGTTAGTTTGGAGACATCATTTCAACGGAGCAATGGTTTTGCCTTCCGAAACAGTGAAGATCTTCATAATTCAAAACCGAAAGTCTGGAACATCATCAATGTTTCTTTGACGTTGACTTATATTTTTGTTAACTGATGTATATTAATGGTGATATCTCGATCATCGCACATATTTCTAAGCATAGGAAAAATAGATCAATTGTAGATGTACACTGTTTTTGGCATATAGGAAAAATGAAGACGAAAAGAAAAATATATTGGAAAAACATACTTTAGAATTTGCAAGGTGTTGTTTGGACATCTGTACATACTGATAGTCGTTGTCTTCCTGTAAAGTAAAGTCTTCTCCAATAATTTCATTGCTCAACACACACCGCTTGCCACCACCACTTGGGTCCATTACTTTAAAATTCACCGAGACACATGTATTCCTCTTATTGCACTCTCTGAGACACTGCAGTACATTCTCAACAAACACCGTAATAAGCTCGGCATTTGGTAACATCTTGCCATCAATTATAGTCTCGTAGGTTGTTGTTTGTGATGAAAACATTGTACTCGAAGGTCCAGATCGAATCCTCGTAATGGAGAGGCATTGCAACAAAGCCATGAATACGACCTTCATTTTGTTTTATCGTTCTGCGTCTTGAGCTTAAAGGCAGAATCAGATCTATGGGGGTGACAAAATTAAAAACATGTACAACTGACCTATCAATCTATTCTTTAAAATCTCAAATACAATATCTCCAAAAAGATTCACGATATATATTATAAATTGGTGAAGTTATTATGGTGCAAAAATAGGTTTAGAAATGTGTGAATTCTCCCAAATAATAAGAATGGTAACCGTTCTTATAGAAAAATAATACATTATTGCTAAAATCTTTAGTTTTCATGAAGTGTGCACTTCGGGGATTTTTAGAAAATAGACATGACAAGAAATTACATGAGCCAGAAATGTTCTTAAATTGAAACAATTTTTTTGGCCTGCTCGCTAGATCTAATTCTCTCTTTAAAACATATATAATGAGGATATACAATGCTAGCTAAAATGATGAAATGTATTTAACTTTTTCATAAAAGTTAAAGAACACAAGAATTGTGACATTTCTATTTATTTTCAAATGTATCAAATGCATATTTACAAGATTTTGTCTTGTGCCAATTTGTCCATGATGATCTATCGTAATTTCAAAAGTTTCCTTTTAAATTCAAAGTGTGATTTATACGAGAATTTCTATAATGCTTCTCACTTTCTCATTGTCTACATGAACAGATTACGCGTACTCACCCTCAATCTAGAGCCACTTTAATTGTGTCTGCTGGTTGCTGTTCGATGTACTTCTGTTTGCAAACGCTTATGGATGACGTAACTTTGCTAATTGGCCAGGAATATTCAATTATGTTCTGATCTCTGGGAAGCCCATAAATCCATTAACTCATACCGTTTTCTTGTTCGATTCCAATAATAACTCATTGATTGCGATATAAACACATGAAGAAACACACAGCCGTTACGTATATCGAATTTTCATTATCACAATTTTAATGACATTGAATTTAAAGGGAAAATTAAATTGAATACGTGAAACAAGTATGCTGTCCTTCCATTTGAGAAATCTTAGAAAGAGAAATATGATACATCAGATCAATGATGGTCCATCGGGTAAAGTTTGCTGTCTACATGTATGACTAAATGTCTTTTGTGCAATCTAAATTCACTTAAAGCGGCAGTAGAAATGCCCTTTCTGGGCGATTACACCGTGAATATGATGTTAATTTATTTATGAATCTTATGAAATAAAAAGTATTTATGATTAAAAAAATTAGTGGCACGCGCATAATTAGTGAGTTCCAGTTTTGAAATATGAATACAAATATGAATTTACTTATCTCCAGTATATTCACGGAAATAAGATAGCTAGCACACTCATAAATAACTAAGGGGAGAATCGAGCCCGCGATACGTAAAAAGCAAAAATAGTCTCCAGTCGATGGTAATACTACTGCTGGTATAATATTTATGATAACTCACAAAAACTATATTTATTATTTTGACCAAATTTGAAGCCTGATGAAAATGTGTAGTGTCAAGAAAAAGCATAATGCCTAAATACACAGCTATGGCATCACAAGATTTAAGTTTATAACCTACTTTACCTGACAGAGATACGTAACATGTAACTTCACTTTCTAAAACACAAGTGATGCAAAGCAAAACATACATATTTCAAAACATTTTGTCGTGGATAACTATTTCATCGTGCCCAGTGTTATTCTCACCATGACCATTATGACCCTAGTCGTGTAAATTATGTTTCGAACAGTATTATATTCGAATATTCTTCATTTGATCAGATACGAGCAGGCTTAACAAAAAAATTGTTTCAATTTTAGAATTTTTTTGGCTCATGTCATTCCTTGTCATGTCTATTTTCTAAAAATCACGAAACTGCATACTTTATTCCAGGAAAACTAAAGATTTTTACAATAATGTATTATTTTTCTATAAGAATGGTTACCATTCTTATTATTTGGGAGAATTTAAACATTTTTCACCCATTTTGCACTTTGAATCAATAATAACTTCATCAATTTATAACATATTGTGAATCTTTTGGGAGATATTGTGTTTAATATTGTAAGGAATAGATTGGTAGGTCAGTTATACATGTTGCTTGTAATTTTGTCACCCCTATAGATCAGATTCTGCCTTTAATACAGGGTGGCCCAAAAAGGTGAACCCCTGCAGCAGGCTATATTTTCCTCAATACTTGCATGAAAAGATTCATATTATCACACGTTGTAGAGAAAGGTCTAACATTTTTGTTGATGCCATAATTTATCCTCGGTCTTAAATTTTGAAGAAATTACAAGAGTTTAACGTCAAACATGCCTGAAAATTAGGTATACTGCAAAATTTTACCAATCTGATTCATCGAAATTGTTGAAACACATTGCATGATTTTAAATTGCTGTCAGTTATGCCTGGGTCACATTTGCTCCGATTCATCGACCGGCGCCTGGCCGATTGAGTGTTTTGTTCAAAATTGTATTTACTTTGGAACAAAATACTCAATCCGCCGGGCGCCGGCCGATGAACCGCAGCACATGTGACCCAGGCATTAGAAATACGAGTTTAAAACCCTACCATATGGCAAAAGGGACACTATTGAAGCAGAAACCACATCTCACACTTTCATTGATCATTTTGTAGCAGTTTTAACCGTTCAACACTTCACACTGCTACCTACACCAACAGTTAGAGGGGAGCCTTCTGTGGAAGGAAGTTGCCCCCTGTGACTAGAAATCTGATTGAAATATCTTTGAAATAGAACATTTCTTTTGATCACAATAACTTTGCAACTAACAAAAAGAAAATCCAATATTCCATGTTTTGAGTCATATTTCACAAGAATTGGCCCATGATTTATGAAGATATTGACATTTCAAGATCATAAAGGGGTAT